AGAATAATTTTATTATTTATTTTACTCTTATATATTATTTAATATAAATTTTTAAAAAGTATAAGTTTTTTTTTAAGTGGATTTTCTTTTTCGGAATTACCGGGACCGACTGTACATGGAAATTATTGTTTATTTCGCCTCTAATAAAAGTCACTCCAACAATGAGCCTAGGTATTCACAAGGCACTGATTATGCTACATGGCAGCCATTGCCTGCTTAAGGACAGGTGACAATCCTGGCTGGGCCTTCCAGTGTTGGGCATAGTGGCGGCGTCCAACGGAGCTCGGTTGGCCCTTTTTTGATTTCGTCTCTGTGCAAATCGAAATAACTGCGACCCCCAATGTCGATGATCCTGTTTGTGGAGAGGCATGAGAGAAATGGGAGGTGCATTCATTCCAGGTGCAGATGAAGAGATGCTGTTTGGAGGGGTCCGGTACACTGCATGGCACGACGGGTTGACCCTATCGCTAAGTACAGTGGGTAGACAAAAGTCACGATAATTAGCGATTTTACACCTAAACTTACTACTTTTATTAATGAATTATTACTTAACGTTTTAATAAAAATTTATAAAAACTAAAATTATATTAAATTCTTATAATAATTATAATAATATATAATTTTTATAATTATAAATAAAGTACTTCTCTTATAATTAAAGGTTAAATATATAAGTAGATTTTTTTAGTCTCTTAATCCCCTATAATATCCACTATAACCTACTTTAATTAAAATCTTTAATTTTTCCGTTTTTTAAGCTTAAAAATCTATGCTTAAAAAAATAAGAAAATTAATTCAAAAATAATAATAGTAAATTTTAATTAATTATTTGTTAAGTTTAGATTTTTATTAATTTACTTACATATAAAAATCTTAATTTGTTTATACTTTAAAAAGTATAAGTTTTGGTGTAAAAATGGGTCATTATCGAGACTTTTGTCCAGTGACTGTAAGCCTTGTGATCATGGCGACCGTGGACAGTAGCACTAGCGTAGCAAGTGCTTCATCGGCGAGATATTATCCACTAATGGCCGTGATTCTTTGTGCTCGGCCATCAAGATAGCAGGTGGCAGTGATACGGAGCCCGCACGCATTAGGTGACCATGGCATTCGCCTACCGGGTGAGGATCACTAGCGGGCCAACCAGCTCACCTTCACCGTCATAGGGTTGCAATTAGACGGGCTACGGGTGCAGGGAGACTGACCCGGCCTCCCGATCCTCGTATTTGCCCCCGCAAATAAGCAAATTGAATGTGGAGAGAGTCCTTGCAGTTGGGTGCCGTTGGGCGCACCACATACGTCAGAATCCGTCATGGCTTCTGTCACGCAACCCGTGAGCATTGAATGTCAGTGGACTGACGATCATTGAACGAGTCGGGCAATTGTTGGGGGTCGTGAATTGTTATATATACCGGGCATTTGACCTGCATGGCGGGACCTGCCAGCCTCTCATGAAATCCACATCATCTTCTGCGTAAACACCGTCACCAGCTTTGGACCAACCCACAGAAATGAAGTCTACGGCAGTCTTGGCTTCCCTCGCTTTGGGCGGCCTGGCAGCAGCCCAAACCGTCCAGTCAAAGCCATTCAATTTGCTCGTGCAGTCGGACAACAAGGAACTCAACGGCCGTGCCTTGAGTACATGTCACACGGGAGCGGCTATTGAATCCATCTGTCTTCTCAAGGACACCAAGGCTGTATTTAACCTCAACACCACCGAAGGTGCCCAGCCTGGCCCTGGTGGCATCTCTGGAGTTCTGGCATGGACCTTGCCATCACGTATGTATCACATCACGGGTCAAGCCACTGCGCCAAGTGTCAGCTAATCATTAAATTGCACAGAGCCACCTATTCCGTCCAGCATGTCCTTCTATACCGACCCGTCTACCAACGTTGCCCTTCCCCTCTTCTATCCCGGAGACAACAACGTTCAATACGTCGGTTTTGACAAGGACGATCTCATGAACATTGTCAGCCACCTCGATGACACGAAATCACCGCCCACTGGTCAGACGACCCGCGTTCTCAAGCGTTGGTACGTTTGCACCACATACAACTTCAGCTACACCTACCAGACTCTCACTTGGGTCCTGGGCAACGCAAATCCACAGAACCCAAGCTGTGTAAAGGTTAATGTTAAGAGAAAGTTCCTTTAGGACTCGACTGGGGCCAAGAGGATATGATGAGGATAGCATAGCATAGTGTGATACAATTTAATCTAATGTACAGTCTCACAATCACTGGCTTGTTTGCGCACAATGCGTTGGCAATCTGCCCTGCGACATTTACAAACGACTGCCTCAGTAACTACTACCCTTACGATTAGATCTTGGATGCCTGAAGAGGCAATTGTTGGCCAAACGGCAAGTAATCAGGCTGATCAACTCCCAAGACAAGCTTACAATCTCACCTTACGCGCGCTTTGCCTTCTTGTCCCACCTTTTTCTGAGTATGTCCGTCTATCCCGGCTACTATTAATTCTCATGGAATCCTTTCTTGATGCAAGACCCAGCGATTCGCTGCTTTATTAGCAGTAGGATCATTGTCATGACCGGTATCCAGCGCAAGCAGAGTCCCACTAACAATCCACGCAATTGGGAACACGATTGACCGACCATTGCCAACGCATTGAACAAGTCCTCTCGATGTGTGCTTGGTTGCGCATGTAAGAAGCCCCAAGCATCTTTGAGAGTGTTTCGGTGCTCCGTACTGCTTATATTGGCAATCGCACCATCCAACCAGTCATTGGAGACTTGGACATGGTCGTTATTGAGCAGATGGCGAACCACACCACCTCGCTACTCGACACGTTCGTAGTGCCCTCCCAGACGGTATTGACGCTGATATCACGGAAAGTCCGAGCCAGATTGTCCGGTTCATCCATGTATCCTACGCTACCCATGGCCTTGATACATTCCTGAATGGTGGCAACGGCTGTCTTGCTAGCCACAGCCTTTGTCGCTGCAGTGAGGGCTCAAACGATCACCTGAGCATCCTTCCGTGACGCATGAAGCGGTGCATATGAGCTACTGCTAGTGGTTTCTTGGAATGACCAACCAACGCATGATGCTTCCAAGCGACCGGCTCTCGCGAAACCAAGCTCAGAATAGAACACGGACGCCTAACTACGGTCTCTGATAAAAGAATAAATGAACCACTCAAACAGCCTTGCTTCACTCAACTGCTAGAAGCCATGCCGGCAATTCGCTGCAGCGATTAATACCAATACTTCAGCCAGTGTCTCAGACACCACACCGCCGAGTGTGCCCATGAGCAAAGCCGTCAGAGTCTCTGGTATGTCTAGAACAATGACTTTGATGAATCTTATTGTTTGATTAATCCCCCTTTTCCTTATATTTGCTGTCGTCCATTTGGGCACAAGCGTTAGGGGCAGTATTGTACTTGCCTAAAGAATTCCCATCACCAATAATCAATGCTCGCAAGCGATAGCACTCGAGTCGGGGCCTCAAGAATGGACATTTGTAGAAACAAGAGTTATCTTCACGGATATAGGGGCACATATATATGTACTCATTGAGGCCAGGCTGCTTAGCCTACTTCTTTGCTTCGTATAAGGCCACCGGCACTCCCTGTCCCGGACATCCAACCAACTCCGCCTTGTGAAACTGAGCATTCCAATCGCCGCGGTATTCAACACGCTCATACTTTTGCAAAAGCCGCACCACTATGGTACAGAGTCAGCATCGTCTAAAATTCCGAACGCTGAGCTCGGAAAGAATCCTCACATGTAAAGGCCATCTCGGTGACGGCAAAGTTTTGGCCGATGCAGATTCTTGGCCCACCATTGAAAGGCACGTATTGCCACGGCTTCGGTGTCCAGTTCTCCCATCGATCGGGGCTGAAGATGGCAGGGTCGGCGAATGAATCTGAAACAGGCGGGTAAAGATCAGGCCGGCGCTGCATAGCCATGGTGCTGTAAATTACAATATCGCCTGTCGATGTCGCGATTTCTGGTTGGCCTTCAGGCGTGGGGAGGGTAGAGTCCTCAACTAAGTCAAGGATAGTCAGTCAGTGTCCGTTAGCGACAAGCCGATGCAGAATTTATACAGGTCAAACACGTACTGCAACCACGAATGTTATAGGGGACCGCGGGGTACAGCCGCAGAGTCTCGTTGATGGTGTGAGTCAAGTATGACAGGTTTTTGAGGTCCTCGTATGATGGGGTTCGAGTTGGGCCTACGTGCTCCAATACCTGGTTTCGAAGCTTTTGCCACACCTCGGGGTAATTGGCAAGTTCATAAAGAGCCCATGATAGCGTTGCTGCAGTCGTGTCTCGTCCAGCAATCAAGACAGCAAAGATCTGGTCTCGGATCACTTGAGGGTCTCGTGAAAATAAGGCAATGTTGTGAAGGAAGGTGAATTCCTTGTCTGACTTTGACAGCTGTTCGAGCTCCTCAATGGGCAGACGCAATGTTGATTCAATGTACGGGGTAATGAATCGCTCAATTACTTTGATTCCATCATAGTATTTGCGTAGTGGCAGTACGTGACGAAATGGGCTACACGCGCATGATTAGTACAGAGATGACTCCGCGCACGTCATGAATGCACAAGGGAGACGGTTTCCTTCTTGTATTAGGGGAGTGACACTTACTGGAGGATGACTCGAATCATCTGCATACGTTGTACATCGGTGAACGCTTGGCTAAACTCGCTGTTGGGGTTTTCCAAGGCACCAACAGTCTGCCCCAGGAGGAAGTCGGTTGAAACATCCAGCGTCATCCTGTAGAACAAGTCGCAGATATCGACAGTCTTTCCCGAGGCGGGAAGCTTGGAAATCAACACATCGGTCCATTGAGAAAAAATCTCAATGTCGCGGACGCGCTCTCTTGTGAACATGGGTCTGATGAGAGCGCGGCTCTTTTGCCACAGCTGTCCGTCAGTGGTGAAGATGGAGTCTCCCAGGAATGGGCTGGCCGCAGTGTGGACCAGTTCGCCCTTTCCATACTGGGTAAACTTGCTGGTGAGAACGGTCTTTATATGCTCTGGATCCCGAGTAATGATGACGCGCCGTCGGCCAAACTGTAGCTCAACAACATGGGGGGTTTTAGGGTCCCCCTTGCCGAACATGGTATCAAAGTGCTCCAGCATGCGATTTTTTGCTTGCATATAAGCCGATTGGGCAAAAAAGAGCAATACTGGACAGAATTATTAGCATGTGCGGGAATAGATGCGAGTGTTGACCATATACCTCCAAAGGGGTTTCCGGACAGGATGGGCGCCCTAGTTCCAGGACTCTTCCGCAGCCGAATCGGCATATAAATCAACTCGAATATCCATAATGCCATGAGGAAACCCGGTAGTGCAAGCACTACGGCCCATGGGTTGACTGTGACCTTGAGCATGGTCGTTACCGGCAAGTTGCCGCAGTAAGACGTCTGGTGGTTTATGCGGCGTATTGAGCGCGGTGTTTTGGGGGCTCTGAAGCCTTGCTCGCCAACAACGATTGGCAGACGAGCGGCGGGCACCTGGGTACAGGTAGAGACGTATCTTTATAGTCGTGGGAGGCCGATGGGACGTCAATGCCGTTCGCTGAGCAGTCCGGCAGGCTGCTGTGTCCATGACATGGCGATGGGAGAAGGGGGAACGGAGGGCAAAGGGAGGGCACCCTGTCATGCCCATCGGGCAACCGGGCAAAGAGTCGACACGTTGCAAGCTCAAATTATGAACCATCAGAGCCGTATGTATGAAGACAGAAGTGGAGTGACGGACGGTGGCGTGTGACAAGCTACCAGACATCTTTCTTGATGGACCAAGGCGGAGACTTTGTTGACAGATGGGTGCGATGCTGCATGGAGCTGTCCGGACCTGCGGAGCAACTTTCCAATACAACCAGACACAACTGATGTTCCAGCAGTCTCTGGAGACTCCACCCCCGCATTCTTTGTTTGTTTGCTTGACAATCTTGCTGGCGAACCAGTTTGCTTTCAATGGTCAGGTTGAGAGGCATAGGATGATAGGAAGCGGGCCGAGACACCCAAGTGTCTCAGCTGCCTCTTAGCATCAGAGTCTACCAGACAAAGAGTGTCAGAGGGTTGGGGCTACGAGTCAGTCACAAAAGGGGACTTGTGACTCGTGAGGCCCCTCTTCACATGCTTTCAACCGCAGAAGAAAAACTATGGAAATCCCCGCAATTTGCGTCGTCACAAACTGGGAAGTTGCCGCGTAGGGACGACGGGCGCGTGGCTCTGTGTATCCCAACTGCCAGAGTGAGGCAGTCACGGATATACATGGAAGATGTTGATGGCACCGTCCGCTACTGGGCAACTAGAAGCCCCTGTATTCCTTCTCAATCAAGTTAACGCAGGGTTCGAGGAATCAGTATCACATGCAAAACATGAACATATTCATCTACTCTGTTGAATTGATTACAATCTCAGGAGCCACCTCTCTCTGATCTGAATGGCCTCCCCGAGCATCTGAGACCAGAAAAGTCATCGTATAGACAGGCCACCCAAGCAGTGCCCCAAGATAGCAGCGCATGGGACTGACGTGAAGAGGAGCGACCAAGAGGGATAAGGGGTACAAAAACAAAACCAAGTTCAAATAGACGACCATTGGCCCTACGATGTTCGTCCGATAGAATAGAAGAGAGCATCAGAGCCCCGTGACAATGCACGGATGGAAGCTTCTTTCTCGAGCACAGGGCGTCCTACTTGGTACTTGGTCTTCCATCTTGTGCGGCACGAGTCCATAGCGCGCTGTTCATTTTGATCAGGTTGGGCCAGACGAAAGAAATCCCATGCATGCGCCCTTTGGCCCATGTATGTCTCATTCCCCCTCCTCGAAAGCGCGGTTGTTGGCCACGACCAGCAATTTCCTCACTTACGGAGTTGCTTATACACAATCCCGAACTCCGCTGTTCGTCTTTCCGAAATCCATCTTTGCACGTGCTAGTCGGCTTCTTTGGCCTGCACTTCCAGAGTTGCCAGATTGTCAAGCACGAGTTGACGGGCTTTCTCATCGTCCCCTCCTGTTCGACGCTTTGCCTCGGCCAAAGTTTTCTGGAACTTCTTATCCGTGGAGTGAAAGGCATCCAGCAACCCCGTAGGACCAAAGTTTTCGTCAAAGGCAAAGTGGTGAAAGTCATGCTGCAGGTTCGAGTGCATCCAGGGAATGTTGTATCCCGAATGCGAGCAAATGGTGCCAAACTCTAGGAAGACGAATGTAAAGACGGCTTGCGACCAATGGTGTCTTACAAGCAAGGTACCAATGACGTTGGGGAGCAGGTTGGAGAAAATGTGCTCCGTCACGGTGCAGTAGGTAGCTGCGAGACCTACAGGCGCTGTGAACTCGTGGTGTTGTTTGTGGAAGAGCGAATAGAGCGTCTTTGAGTGAAATAAGCGATGGATATAGTAGAATCCGACTTCAGTGCACAGAACGTCGAATATGATGGTTGCAACGGTTTCCAGTTTGCCCGGCAACGCCGACGAGCTGACGGGCTTCAGAGGGCCGATATACATGGTCCCTAGTAGCAGTGGTGCTGCGACCAGGACCTGGTTTTTCAATGAGATGAGCGCGATATTGGCATACTGTCGTAGATTGACTCTGACGAACGGTTGCGTCTTGTATTTGAACAACCAAGCCGGATAGCCGGTAAGATCCGGAATCGCAAACACGGCTCCCCAAACCCAGAGGAAAATGGATGTAATGAGAAAAGTGCCCCAAAAATTAACGTTCCATGCACCGTATCGCGTTTCGATGCCGTCATAAAAGTTGCGCCCCAATTCGGACGAGTTAAAGGCAATAAAACTGCCCACTATGACTCCATCAATGGCGGACGACTTCAAGGCTCCTCCATTTTTGAAGGCGGGCGTTGAGTAAAGCCATCTTTTATTCTGTGGGATTGGATTGCCAGACAAGTCTTTTGGCACAAATCGCTTGGAGCTGCGCGGGACTAGGGCCTGGTCCGCGGTCACAACCTGTACAGTTGTGCTTTGTGCCATCTGGAACTCCGCGCCTTTGTATGGATTCGTGGCTGTAATCCTGCCCCAAGATGTAACATGAGCTGGTTGGGTGTTGGAAGGCCTCAAATATGTTATTGTTGTAGTGAGAAGAGGATGTGCGGGAGGCTCGGGGTGACGTAGCTGTAAAAGAACGAGCAAATACGCACCTTTATCTATGGATTTGTGGGCTGGATAAACTTATTAAATAAACCCAACGTTTAGTAGGGTCTTGAAAAGCAATCTCTGTGCTTAAATACTCATTCGCCACTTCGTATGTACAGAACAAGTGACGGGTGCTTTCCGATCAAGTGGGTATCTGGCCATCGGGATCGACCCGTGCGTCTGGGTATGATGCTCGATTTACCTCGGCCCCATCCGTCAATTCCATTTTAAGGCGATCCTCGCTGTTTCATGCGGTTCACTGGGTACCAGGATATAGCAGGTCGATTTAGGAACAACCGAGTGCTGGTCGTTGTCACAATCGGAGGCAGTGTCTTAACAAGACAGCATACTCGAGTACTCGATCAACTGCACATGGTCTCGCAAGGCATGTTGCAATCATGACAAGATATATTTCAAATCGGCCTAGATGTTATCATCACATGCATCCCCCATGGCATGGTTTGCCATTGGTCTCACAGTACATGCTCAAAAAAAACACACCATGACGAACCCGAAATATTGCCATGTCGACATTATTATGTAGAATGCAAATTGGGAAGAGCAAATAATTCGTAGCACAGCATTTCGGGCGTTTCCCACCATTGTATCAATCTCATTCTCCTCACAAGAAGTTTCTTGACAGGAGTATGGCATGTTTAGTATTTGGCATCACAAGTCACTCAAATGGAGGGGAAGATGATTGCATTGGCGCCACAGGCGACCGGGAAAAAGGAAGAATAGTTTCATAAATAGTATGGTATATACATCAGATCAAAAAAAATTATGTACTCAAAGTATTCGAGGAACCCAAGGGTAATTTATACAGCAGTGCTCCAGCATAAGGGATAGGATGTCTTCGGCCTTTTTCCCTCCCCAGCTCAGCTTAAATGCGGCAGCTACTGCCAGCCAGAGTCCAGCCAGTAAGACGGTTAGCAATATCAGACACATAGCAAGGGGTGCTGCCCATGGCCTTGTCGAGGCTGTTGTAGTCAACGAGGCCGCTGTTGTAGAGGCGGGCAGCCGCGTAAAATGACCGGGTGCTCTTCTCACCAGCAACTCCACGAGCCTGGTCGAGCACTTGCTGAAGACCGTCTCCAGACGAAGTTCCAGCGACGCCGTCGCTAATCATTTGGGTGATTTGGCTGGCAGGGCACGGGTTGGTGTTGGCGCAAGTACCTTTGCCGTTGTGAGACTGCATCAGGCCAGGGTTCGTCACTCCGTTGCTGGTCGTGGGAGCTCGAACACAGCCCTTACTTTCCTGCATCATGACGGCAAGAATAAAACGGTTATCGACGCCAGTCTGGTCAGCCAGCTCCTGGATAGCAGACTCGATGGCGTCGATTTCATCGTCAGAGTTATTCGCGCCCCAGCCATTCCAGCCGCAGGTCTGCTTCATGAGAAGGGCATTGGCATTCCAGAGGGCGTCCCAGGAGCCCCACGCGTCCTGGGAAGGCCAACCCGCTCCAGTAGAGCCGTCGCCTGCGTAAAAGGTGTAGCGGTCAGTGATGGCGCCGCGCTCGTGGTGGGCGTTGACATGAACGTGGTTGGTGTAAGCCGGTAGTCCTGCTACAACGGCGGCAAAATGAACAGAAACGAGGGCAACTTGTCCAAACATGACAATGGGTTTTGGAGTGTGTTTAAAAAGGGGTTACGTAAGGCATATACAGTGTACAGCGAATGGATTGAAACGAAGGCGTTGACTGTGAAGCCGGAAGATGCCTGTCGAACCTGCTTGCTCAGTGAAGAATAGCAAGAAATTTCTGAGGATGTTTGCAGCCGTTATATAGGTGATTTCTGCAAAAAAAAAAAAAAAAGACTCACTACCCAATCTAACATGGGCTCTTCTTACTCTGCTTTACACGGCTTACGCCAGCTGGGCAAACCGTACCATGCTCCAGACGTGCGTGGTAACATCTACACACCAGACGTGATGCTTTGTTACGGCCAAGACAGATCCCAGTTCTCGGCTTCCAGTGAGGGTAGAAGTGCTATTGTCCGGGCAGTAGAGCCAGACATTGGTCAACGAGACCACGAGGCCAACAGGAGGCGGCGCCGGGCTCAAGACGTGCTGTCCAATTGCATGCTGTGTCTTGGCTGGAAACGGGAGGTGTGATTTGGGATGAAATTCTGTGTTATATGGGGGTCGTTGACATGCCATTGTTTGGAGCTTGAACGGTTCAGGACATTTGGCCGGATATTCAGATCTACATGTTGAACCGTATCAGCGCCGTAACCGCAGAACAATTGAGGGTAGAGTGTAATTTTGGTTTTTTGATCATCATCTCTTCAAATCAATTCAATGTCCTTGTCCTACTCATACACAACTTGGGCAGTAAACGAGATCTCACATCACTTGATTGACGCTCTCTCGGATCGTTGTAGGCATGTGGCCACAAACAATGCGCCCGGCCAGGCTCACTTGGTCTCAGCTGGACCGCCATGTTCAATGTTCTCATTTTCGTTCGACTCAGACTCTACAGGGGCAGCCACTAATTGCCCACGCCGTCGGTGGCGTGAGGCCCCAGAAGCCAAAGACTTGGCCCAATTACGCAGAACGAGGCCCATTTCATGCGTCCCGAATTCCAGCTGGAACCAGCGGCCCCCCACAGAATGCCCTGAACCATGCTGCCACAGGTGGTTCTATTGGACCAAGAATTCATGGCGGCTGTTGTTTCCTGAGTTGAGCAATGATCGACGGTGCCTGGAAACGGCACACCCACCGCCCTCAGTAAAATGTCAAGTACTCGGTACGGAGTAGTGGACCAGCAATCTCATCATGTTACGTGCCTAGTGGGAGGCTAAACGCTATTGTAGAGTCCATGGTGGGATTAATTTCGTGGCCCAAAGTGCTGGGTGGTTCCCTGGGTCAAACGGCCGCTGTTCATATTGTCATGGTGTAAAACTATGTACAAGTACGTACGAACCGTTGATGGCCGACAAAATCTCTCACAAAATGTCGTCGGGCTTCACAATGACCCAATTCTTGTCGGCCCACACGGGCAAACCCTCGCGCTTCTGGGCGGCAGCAAAGTCTTCCCTCATCTTGTTGATCTGCTGCATGTACTTGTCCTTGCGGTTCACCCACAGGTGAATACCACCACGGCCAACATCAACTCCCTGGAACAGCATCGGGCCGTCACTATCGGGAGTATCACCAGCAGCCAAGATGGGACGGTTCCAAGGGTCAATGTAGTCCAGAATAGCCGCCCACTTGCCCTCTTTCCATGTGGCCGGGGTCCAGAGGAAAGGAGTCATGACCAAATCGAGGTTATTCTTCTCGTTGTAGTCGCCCTCTCTGATCTGCTTTCGCGCAGAAGTGACGTTTCCGCTCCCGAGATCCTTAATCAAGAGGGTGACGCCAATGACATTTTGGGGCTTCACATTGTACTCATACTTGGGGTCCGAGGCAACCATGCGCACGAGTTCCTCCGAGGCAGCACTGACAACGTATACTTCGATACCGTTGGCCATGAGCCGATTATACAGCTCAACCTGGCCACGGAAGACCTTGGGCGGGCTCACGGTGGAATTGGTCAGGACACCCTCTGCGTAGTACTGCACGGGGATAGTGCTGTTGAGGGCCATGAGCTCGTCCACGTAGACTTTGAGCTGTCGGATTGGCACGCCACTGAACACCTGAGCGGCAAAGGGGTAGCAGACGGCATCGTCGATTTCACACAGACGAAGGTAGTAGCTATATAGGCTCTCGGTGTGGGAAGCAGTGTCTCTGAAGGGGACAATTTTCAGAGAAGGGTCGAGCTTCTCGCGCGACAAGACACCCTTGGCCTCGAGGAAGGGCAGCAGGGACTCCTCGAGATCGAAGCGGTAACTAGTGTTGTCCATGTCGAAGACAGCATAGCGACCCTTGTGGGCATTGCGCACAATCATTTCATTGAGGGCCTTGGCAGCCTCGGGCGGCCAATGGGCCAGACGAGGCCCAGCAGGACATTTGGTGTTTTTGTCGGCTGGCGTGGCATCAGCAATGCCGGCGATGGCACCGAGGCCGAAGACTGTCCAGGTGCTTCTCATGATCATGATGGTCGGGTGTGTTGCCCCGAGATCCAACCAATAAAACTCTCGGTGTTTCTCTTGGTCTTTGATGATGTCCAATTACTCAGCTCAAGTCGTGTAGGACAAACGACATGCTGGGTGAATTTTCGCTGGGACGAAGGCAGTTGGTTGTGCTGACGGACAGGAATGGAACAACAGAACGTATGTGCCGGGGGTAGCGTCTCGCAATTTAAGTAAGATCGCATGCGTGTATGTATGTATGAATGTGTATTTACTCGTGTTGCACAAACAGGTTGACGGCGTTAAACTAATAACTAACCATAACTAATGCACGTTCAAGGTCGACAAGGGCTTCCCGTGGCTCGCCGAAGCCATGTTGAAAGTTTTCCCGAGGGTCAATTTTTCATCATGGACGGGGAGGCACGGCAAGAACAGCCAATCAGCCTCTGGGGCCAAGTGCTAGTAGTTTGTGTCATTTTTGAAATGCTTGCTTGCATCTCAACACAATGTCCCAAGAGTGTCGAGCACAAGGGACAAGGAACCTGACTCCTCTCTGCTCCATCGCCCGCACAATTGCTTGCGTACAATTGGGTCGTTTCTGCTGAGCTAGGCCTTGCGAGCCAGAACACACGTCATTGGGGGCCAGGATATCCTTGGAGATCGCGTGGCTGAAGTCGTTGGTCTCTCGGCGGGAAAAAACATCGTGGAGACGAGGGATAGGAAATAGCTTTACTACTAGTCATCGCAGAGGCGCGGCCTTGAGACCTTAGCACAGTAATCAATGCAATTGAGCAGGTGTAGCCATTATCCATTGATGGCGGCGGTTGGCGGCCAAGTTTCTCGTCGGCTCTGTGAGTGAGCGTGGTGGTTGGTGATGTTGTCGAAACCATGGCAGTTCGCCATGTCGTGCCCTTGTCATTGTTTGGCGGTACACTCACGGCATGCTTACTCGCGCAGCTAATAACATCTAAGCCCTCGAGCCCCCGATTGACCAAGATGCGTCAATTAATTGAACAGTTAATATGAATTGCCACTGCGCATAGCCCGCGAAAAGCCGCAATCCGGTGGTCCTACCCTGCAGCAGCCTGCGCCTCCATTTAGCAAAAGGTCAACCAACACATGTGCAAGCATTCCGAGTTACCATGGCAGAAATCATGTCTCATGTTATGTCTGAGCGTAAAGATCATATGATTGCATGGGTTTGTATTTTACTTTGAACAAAATAATTGCTGGCGTGGGCGCGTCTGAATCTGCTGCTCATGGACGCATCCCAACAACACGTGACACGGATGATGCTCAAACACTCCAAATGCTACCGAGCAGGTTATCCCTCCATGCATGAATTCAACCGCCAACCGCCAGCTATCACGTCCTGTTGATCCATCTCCCCATCCACTCCTTATTCAGCTTCTTTGCTTCATCAACCATGCCCAGCTCAAGCAACAGCTGCACCGACCCCCTCACCGCCGAATGCAACGACGAGCTAATCCACGCATGCGTTGGTGCCGTGTGCTCCCCAATGAAGATGGTGTTGTGCTCGGTGCGATGATACGACGGGATGTACAACCTGTGCTGCTCAACATTGGGTCGACACCACGACGTCGCAGAGTGCTCGTCCTGCAGCCAGCAGAGCTTCTCGTAGTCGCCCGTGTACAGACGCCGCGCCTCTTCGCCGTGCAGGCTGACAATGGCATCCAACACCATGCCCACGTACTCCTCGTCCGGAAGGCTGACGAACCGATCGCTCCAGTCGCCTCCGCGGTACTGCGTAATAAGCCCCGGACGGCTCTCGTTCAGCCCATAGCTGGGATAGTACAGCGCCCCCATGGCCGCGCTCGCAGGCTGAGAGTAGCCGCCAAAGATGGGCCGCTCGCCCTTCTCCCAGAACCGTTCCTTGAACAGCAGCGCCGCCTTGCAGGCTGATTTGAACCGGAGGCCGTGTTCGCCAATGGCCCTGCTGAGCGTCGACGAGAATTTGGGCAGGTCCATCAGTCGAGTCATGGTAAATGGGAGCGTCATGACTGTGTAGTCGTACTCCTTGGATTCGTACGTGCGGTTAGTTGCGCTGGGATACCAGGAAAGCCGTGTCCGGAGGCCACCTTTGCCGTCGCCAACAGACTCGAGCTTTCTGATCTTGCGGTTGAAAACCACCCTGTCCTGGACATGTGGCGTAAAGGCGTCGGATAGCCTGTTGAAGCCCCCGTCGACACACTTCCACTCCGTCTCGCCAAAGGCGCCGCGTCCACCATCCTGTGCCAAGTTGGAGTTGTGCACCATCTCGTCCCAAAACACCTCGTAATCCGTGTCGGTGGCAATGGCGTCCGTGACGTTCTCGCTGGCCTTGAACAGGTGACGCATCATCCCTTGTTCGCTCCAATCGTCGAGATTCTCCTCCATTGCCTTCTCGTGTGCCCGCCAGATATCGCGCTGGATCTCACGCAGGCGCGTCTCATTCTTAAGTATGCCATTCATGGCACTCTTGGTGTTATTGTACTCGGCGCTGCTCATTGGAGGCGGAGCTGCCAGCTCAGGGTTTGCCGCGATTTCTCCTCGGGTTGGAATCCTCCCATCGGCATGACGGCCGGTTCCTCTGGCGAGAAGCTCATTGGGATGGTGCTGCAGCCAAGGGATAAAGTCTACTTTCCATTTCGTGTCGTTCTTATTGAGTTTATTCAACCACTCTGCCAGCTGGAAGGTCATGCGGTGGTCTGTGTATTCGTGTGTCGTATTATCGCTCCTGTACTTGATCGAATACGGCAGCCTCATAGGGCCCATTTCTGCCCATTCTTGCGTACCGCCGACATATTTCGTTCTAAAACGGCCGCCGATTCGATCACTAGCTTCAATTATCTCCCAGTTATGCACACCAATACTATCGAGCATGAGCCCGGTTGTGAGACCAGAGATGCCGGCCCCTACGATTGCGATTGTGACATTTGGGCGGCGAGCAATCGACGTTCCGTTGATGGCTGCTACATCTTCAAACCAGGCGCCTATGGCATCAAAGTTCTCTAGCAGTGCGGGCCTTTGTGACGAGCCATGGGTATGCTGTTGGTTGGCGGCATGACCAAGGACGGGTGTCAGTGTAATTAGAGTCACAGCTGACACGAGATGCCTGAAACTGGGTACCCTGAGCAACATTTTGCATACGTCGTCGTTGCATGGAACTATACGACTTTGTTGGGATAGTGATCTTGTCGGACTGGCATTATGTTGTGACTGAGCAGCGCTCTTCAAGTCTGCTGCTTATATATTTATTTGACTACTGACCTTGATTAAGCAACCACCAAGCTGGACTACTGCCGTAATCGCAAAATGAAATGATAGTGCTTGTCGGGTCCACGGAGTTTGTTGGCGCATGAAATAAGCGCATACATTCTTCGATGTTGTACCATTTACCTTGATGGTTACGTTGCTGATAGCACAATTATGCAGCCGAGACTTGCTGATGGGCCGCGGGACTACCCCGTAATGTTGTTGCAAAATGATTTGCTCCAGGACTGTACAAAGCTCTGCGATGGAGCAGTTGACTGAAGTTGGTTTGTGAAACTGACCTCCATAACAGCGGCTAGTTACAGTTCATTGAACAGTATTCATATCGATCGATATTGCAAACAGTCATGTCTGGTATTGGCACTTCTGATGGCTAAGAAGTCATGGGAATCCCACTTGTTCTGTTCCAGACGTGTTTAAACAGCCACTTCGCTAGGGCTAATGAATAATCACGTACTATCACCATGTACATTCGACCGGCTTTGCGGCTATGCGCAATTTCTTTTCGGGCCTTTGTAGAACATCAAGGTGCTTTTGTGTCTCTCAGGGTGTTCAGCTCTGTGGAGATTACCGTCTATTTTACACGCACGATGTAACAGCGATAAACACATGGTACTATGTCAAGTTTTTTAGTCAACCTAAACAAGGAGTTTTACCCGAAGTTTGGTATCTCAATGTAGTATCAAAAATATCATGGTATGGGTGAGTAGGTGCACCCATTGCTGATCTCATATCATCCGTGAATCAGCTGCTTCCCGGCAATCATTGATCCTTTGGAAGATTCTGTGGAAAGCACCACGACCCGGCCATGTTGCGACTACAGCGTTGGCGATTGCTTGCTTTGGCAGTGCTTCTGGCCGTTTCATCAACCAGCGAGGCTGACATTCGCATCACTGGCCTAACGCTGCAACTGAATAACATACCATATTATGTGCCGCCGCAGTCAATTGGCGTGATCCCTCAGCCAGCAAACAGCTCCAAGGCACGCGACTTTGATCTTGTTCCAATCACAGTGGTGACGTCAAATTATGGAAAATTTGGACAAGATGAGTTGAGATATATAAAAACTGAATTTTCTGGCAACGATGACGTTTTCCAAGATGGATTCATTCAGGGTGCGCCCAACATTGGCAAAAAACTATGGCATTGATCTACAGTGCCATGACGACGACCACTTGCAGAACCGATGAAAAAGCTCGGCTAATCCAATCTATAGACATCTACATACGGAGTACGACGACCGAAGGGAGCCGTTTCTGCGATGCCGCTCTGAGGAACTGCGTTGATGTGCATGCTTCAACCTTGGACGACAGCATTCCCGACGGACCGTACTTTATGTCAAGCTGGGGGTCTATATTCCAGGCATATCGACTGTATTCCGATACACAGGCATCATTCAGCGAAACCACTATACCGGACGGCAACGGGGGCTTTGCAGTCCTTCCTGCGAATATTCCCGGACAATCCCTAGCTGTTGCGGTCCCATCCCGGTTATACTTCAAACCCACCCCCGAGAAGCCCTTGGCTGGTGTGCGTCTTGGGATCAAGGATATATATGACTTGAAAGGAGTAAAGACTTCGAATGGTAACCGTGCTTGGTATAACCACTATGCGGTTGCAGACGCAACCGCTCCGGCGGTGCAGAACCTCATCAATGCGGGTGCCATTGTCGTGGGCAAAATGAAGACGAGCCAGTTCGCCAATGGGGAGACGGCAACTGCTGACTGGGTAGATTACCACTCGCCATTCAATCCTAGAGGGGATGGCTATCAAGATGGATCGTCGTCTTCTACAGGACCTGCTTCTGGAGAAGGTCTGCCAAAAGCCCGCCTATCACCGACAGGTTGTGTTTCACTGACAGCTACGTGTAGCTTCATACCCATGGCTAGACATTACACTCGGGTCCGACACTGGTGGCAGCATAAGGAGCCCAAGCCAAGCTCAAGGACTATACGGAAACAGGCCATGTGAGTAGTATTTGGGGGAAAAAGTGGACGGTTAAGAACTAACAACGAGCTGCAGCTCATGGACTGGTCTCCATGGACCGTGTTATGCCGCTCGCGCCAGAGTATGACACGGCCGGAATCTTTGCTAGAGACCCTCGTCTCTGGGCTTCGACAGCGCAAGCGCTCTACCTTGACAACATTACCTTGCAAAGCACATACCCAACCTCGGTCCTCGCCGTCGGTTTCCCAACCAACTCGTCAACCAGATACAATGCATTGCTAGACAATTTTCTACGAAATCTGACTAGTTTTCTGTCCGCCAGTGTAACCGCCTACAATGTCCAAGAGTCGTGGAAAGCAGACATGCCAAACGAGCAACCTTTGCCGATTCTGCTCAAAAACACGTACGAACTCTTGACAGCAAAAGAGCAGGCAAAGCTTGTCCGGGACACATTCGTGTCAGACTATGCCCAAGCTCACGATGGTCGACTCCCTCACGTGGACCCGAGTCCGTTGCAAAGATGGGGCTTTGGAGACGAGGATCCGAGCACGATTGAAGATGTGGTAGCTGCCAAGACAAAATTCATGGACTGGTTCAACAAGAGGCAGTTGCCACGCGACCCCAGGACATGCTCCAAACACCTCCTCGTGTATGTCCCGAGAATGCCGACGCCAAAGTACCGTGATACATACCTCAGTGGACCGTCTCGGCCGTTCCCCTTTTCCGTCAGTCGCCTTTCAGTATACAGCGGCGCACCGGACATGGTGGTGCCCATCGGAGAGCTGGCATACGAGTCGATTGTTACGAACCACACAGAGGTGCTGCCCGTGTCGGTGGACATGATGGCCGCCAAAGGGTGCGACGGCGTCATCTTCTCCCTTGTACAGGATTTACATGCAGCGGGGATACTGACCACGGTCAAGACGGGGAGGAGCATAGTTGACGGCGAGGATATTCTTTACTAAGAGCATATGCGATGGCTAGATTCCATGTACAATTCTTATCATTATCTTACAAGTAGATTGTTTGCACCATCACGTCTGGTGTCTCGTCATGAGCCATGGCTTGCATGCTTGGGCGTCTGTCATGGGAGTAGATTCCCGCCGATGCCTTTTATTTTATTTTATTTCATCTCTTTTTTTCTTCTCCACGTCCCGTGTCATCATGACCTACTCGGCGAAATGGAGACGGAGCTTGACTCCATCAGCCGGGCAGTTGGTCAAGGTTAAGCCATGCTTGACGGGACCCGCGGCCGAGCCATCGAGGACGTCGATGCGCTGCAGCATACGGACCAAGACGTAGGCGATTTCAGTAAGAGCGAACTGCTGGCCAATGCAGATACGGGGGCCGCCATTGAAAGGGAGGTAGTCCCAGCCAGGCTTCCGTGATTCCCAGCGCTCTGGCTTGAAATCCTCGCAGTCCTCACCCCACAGGTCCTTGCGACGGTGCATGATGAATACCTACAAGATTCAATTTGCGTGAGCAGAGGACGAAAGGGAGAGTGTCCTTGCAAGCAGCAGCAGGGCCTGAACTTACAGAGTAGCCGACATCGGTCCCCTTGGGGACAAAGACGGGCGAGCGGCCGTCATCGCCTCCCCCAGTGGGAAGAGTCGTGTCGGTCAGGGCTGTGCGTACATTCATGGGGACGACGGGGTACAGTCTCAGGGCCTCGTTGATACACCACTGCAAGTATTGGCAGCTCTTCATCCTCTCAAAGGTGATGTCCCGCGGGCTGTCATAGGTGCCAAACTCGTCGACGACAATCTGGCGAAGCCTCTTGTAAATGTGCTCGTGGCGCTTGTCGGCCAAGGTGTGGAAGAACCAGCCCAAGAGCGAAGCCGTCGTATCACGACCAGCCAGCAGGATATTGAGCAGTTGCGATCGCAGCTCGGTCGGGTCCTGGGTCTGCTCGGCCAGCGCGTGCAGAAAGACGTAGTGGCCCGATGTCTGCTTCTCGCCCGGGTTGCTCATGGCCTTTTGCACAAAGTAGTCGACAAACTTGTGGACTCTCTCGACCATTCGGTGGAACTCGGGCGTGTGCATCAGCCAGTAGTTGTGGCCCAGCCGGGCAGCAATGGCCAGGATGTACTGTGAGCGATCGAAGGCGTAGGCGAAGCTGTTGTCGTCCTTGCCGCTGTTGGTGATGTCGGCCTGCAGATCCATCTGGCTGTTGACGCTCTCGCCAAACAGGAACTCGGTGGCCGAGTCGAGGGTGAGACGGAAGAACAAGACCTGGAGGTCGACGGTGCCGGTCCAGCCATCGCTTCCAAGGTGACGATCCAGCACCGTCATCATATTCCTGACGTGCGCCTCCTCGAGATCCAAGTCGCTGACCTGGCTGCGGACGAACTGGGGGCGGAGGAGGGCTCGCGAATGCTCCCATTGCTTACCATTGGCAGCAAACTAAACAAACAACAAGAGAGGAGTCAACCGTCTGGCGCTCGAGATCATGTCGGGCCACAGGCAAACAAAACTTACAATGCCGTTCCCGAGAAGTGGTCTGAAATTATCGGTGCGGTTCACGCCCAGACCAAAGTCCTTGAACTTCAGCGCCAGCATGGCCTGGATGTTTTGCGGATCCGAGGTGAAGATGATCTTCTTGAAGAATGGGGTGACCAGGGCTGCCGTACCGACTTGTCGGCCCTCGCGCTCATTGAGCTTCTCGAACTGCTCCTGGACCAGCCGGGGGAATCGCTTCTCCTTGGACGCCTTTGCGCCGCGGTACATGGCCACGACGCCGCTGGGTTCCGTGGACGGACCTAGAACAGGCGGTTTGCACCCGAGCTTCTTGGCCATGGCCCTGTGACGCTGTCTTGTCTGCACGGCGTTGATGACCATGACGACGACGGCGGCCCCGAGGGCGATGCCGACCAAGACGGTGACTTGCATGGCTGTGAGTTGTGGCAGTACCTGTTGTCGTCTACGAGCCGTCAAGTTTTAATGTTTAGCGAGAAGCCAGAAAAGGGAAGGCGACCAATGCGACGGCTACTGGGCTTTTCTATTGTAGTATTTGGGATCGCGTGCGGAGGGTCGGGAGAACTGACGACCCCAGACATCGTCATTCAAGGCCGTGTCTATGCCGTTTCCTGAACCCGCAGCTGAGCCACCGGGTTGCTCTCTAAACCCCTTGGAAGCCAAGTCTTACCGCAAGGCCCCGTAGACTCAGCCTTGCTTTTTACCCCGTACAAATACCTGTTCTGTCTGGTAGTTATTAGTTTTTGGCAACCCCCCGCGTTTCGGCACGGCCTCGGAGTGGTCGGTCGTCGGTGGCGCCGTTCCCGTGCCCCTGTGTGCGTTTGGAGTTGCTGTTAACAGAAATGGAGACAACGTGGCCGGCTACGGGTTACGAGTGACGAGGTGGCTCAACTCAGTCGTCGTCAACCTCTTTGCTCCCCGTGATCATGATGCCACCACACGGCAGAAAACCCAAACCGGGCACGACGTTCCCGTGCAGTCTATCCGATTACAATCCACGGGCCTGTGAGTCGGTGCTTCGGGGGGAGATTCACGCTTGACAGAAGTTGGTGACTGGTCAAAACATGGCCGTTGGGCGGGCAAAATCACATGCGACTCAACCACCAGGCTAAGACTACCACATCGTAGCCACCGCTTTTATTACCGATCTGATTTTTCTAGTGTTGCGGGTTAGAGCGCGATAACCCAAGCAACTCGCCCTTGCTTCTTCATGTCCAGGTTGCCGTACAGGTGAAGCGATACCGACCGCCACTTGGGTACGTCTATAAACGTAGAGTTTACCAATACTTGCGTGACCGTGATGGGCTTTCCGAAAGTATCAATCTTCTTGTGGCCTACACTAGTTCTGCTGGAGCGTCCACGGTACAAACAAAGTACCATTGACACCGCCAATGTCTACAATCTTCGCGTACACCTCGTAAGACCGGATGACTTGGCCGTTGGTCTGGTCCTCCATCAGTTGGATGCGATCAACGGCAGTTGGGTAGTCAAAAAGTCATAGAGTACGCGATAGCAAGACTGGATAAGTCGCCCAGCTGTTTGTACCTTGCGGCATGGTCGGCTGGGATCAAACCGCTACGGTCGGGGGGCAAAGTCCAGCTCAAGCAAGCAATTTCTGCCAACCATGGTGTGGTAGACCTCTCTCCAATTATTCGAAGAGGCTGTCCGACGCCAAAAAACCAGCAGTCGTTTGTCTGCAGTGTCGTGTCTGGTCACATTCAGACGGCACAAAGTACGGGCTGGTTGGGTCGCCGCCGCCTGCTAAACCACTGCAAACTGCACCGTGAGCTCAGAATAGCTATAATATATACATGTACTGGGACGAATGTTACAAGCTGCCACGCACGTCGACCAACTCTCTTCGGGAGCCAAGCCCCTCTCGTTTCCAATCCAGCGAACTGGTCAAGTCTCTCGTCAGATCATTGCTTACATTAATCTGTAGCATCGCGGAACATGGGAATACCTGAAATAGGCGATACACAACTGCCATTGCTGTCGTATCCGTTGAAAATCACGGCTTGGGGCTGCTTCGCCTCCAGCAAGCGCTGGATGTTGTCCTTTTCGGCGGCAATATAGCCGCCATCGAACCAAATCTCGTCGTTTATTAGCGATTTGATTCATTCTTTTGAACGTTGGGAGTATGTACGTACCTTAGTCAGACTTCTATAGTTGCTCTAAAGCTCAGAAAGTTGATCTAACACGATTTGATTGCAAGTTGCATTTGTGATTCCCACCCGGCCGGGCGATAACTTGCTGGTCCGAACTCGCGACTTTTGGGCGTTGAGAAAATTGTTCACAACAACGCTATAGTAGGACCCGTGGCCAACATTATATTCCCTTGCAGAGTCCACAAACTCCTTGGCAACGTCCAGGCCGTCAAGTGGCGAATCAGTAGTTGTGTAGTTGTAGCGGATCCTCTGATTGCCATGGCGAGTTGGGAATGTGACTTGGCTCGGCCAACTTGCGAAGCCGCAATAATGCTTCACAGCCAGGGCGGCATACTTGACACCAAGAGAAGTGACGCTGTCGAACCACTGATTTGTGTTGATGAGTGTAGGATCAAAAAGCGACGCATTCGGCACCAAGGACGGGTCCGAATTACACCCATCAATGCTGAGCCAGGTCGCGACGTCGAAGTGAATCAATGCGCCGATTTCGCGGTCTTGGAACGCAAGTTGTTCTTTGGTTGGCAAAGCAATCTTTGAGCCATCAATTGGCGAGATGCGGTATCTGGGCTTGAAAGGCGGACGCCAGCCGCGAGATCTGCCGGACGCCCTAATAACACCAGAGACGAAGAAAAGCAACGTAATCAGACCTAGTGAAGGCATTATGCAACAGAATCAGATCCGATGCTAATTTTGTGACAACGAATGGCTCATGGACCTCAACACGGCTCAAGACTGTGAGCCTGATCACGGCTATTACATTCATGGACATGCGGGGTTCATGCTGGGAGTCAAAGTAACCGTCGGGTCTTTTATATTTTACCGGCCAAGCTGATAGTTCAATTTGTGCATGGTAGCGATGAGCATGTATCCAAAATCGCCGTCGGGTGCACCGTTGCCTGTCGCTACGACCAGGTTCAACTCCGATGGCGATCAGTCGGGGAATACGAGTGTAGTCGTTGTAGAACTACGCGCTTGTACTATCCTTGTGGCATTTATATTAGAAAGTGGGAGCTTTTATTAAATACTCTCTGTCACCTTATTTTAGCTACAAAGCCGCTCAAAGAACCCCCTTCACCCTGTCACACGCATGGATCATCCACTCATGGCCTCTCACTCATGCAACATCATTTCTTGGAGTGAGATTTCAATCCGGCTGGCTAAAAGTTACTTGAGCCTGCCTCCAATGTTCCTTGGGCCACCAGGTCCGTCCTCTAAACCATTTCGCCGGGGAACATCTTCTCTCCATCGCCAGTGAGTACGCATGTGAGACTTCGCATTGTCGGTATTGTTAAAGACATCGGCCGCATGCTGGGTAAAAACTGCGTCAGTAAGGTCTCAGTCATATGGAACGGGTAGTCGTACGTCTCCGAGAACCGGCATGAATTTGGCACCATGTCCGCTACCGCCAGTACACACAAACACAGAGTTCTCGGCGTAATCTGGCACATAATCAATCTGTCGAGTCTATTAGCCACGCTTACTATACGTCTCCTTGGATCTTGAGTAACTGACAACAAACGAGTTGTCCAAGGAGTCAGTGTACCAGCACAACTTGGTCGTGTCAAAGTTGGCCTTGTCAAACTCTGGCAGGAAGATGGACACGAACGTTCTAATCGCTTCCTCCGCTTGTGCCGGAACGGTTTTGCAATCCTCATACGGTAGAGGAATCGACCATTGACCGTCTTGCGTGAAAGGAACCCCGTCAGGTGCCTTCTCAAAATTGGTAAACTAAATAATGTAGTTTCAGCAAGGTATTCAGCAGATGGATCATCGGGTAGCACGCCACCTTGACACCACGATATCCAATCTTGATAATACCATCGGAAGTTCTTGGAAACACGTAAATACTCCCAGTATCTTTTCCGTCTTTGGCGCGAGGAGCGCTTTTCCAGGTAATGACTGGAAATTTCTCTGGAGAATATTTGTCCCAAAGTGCTTTGTTTTCAGGGTCGATCTTGAAGGTCACCAAGCTGCCAGCGGCGGACTCTAGATGGTAGGAGAGTTTCGATAAGAGCTGTGTCGAGAACGAGCCCGCTGCAGTCGTTTATTAGGACTATTACTGAGATCAGGTAGGGGAAGAAAATGAAAAAGAAAAGAGACAAAAAAACTAATCTTCGACTTACCTGCAATGGCGACTACATCTGCCTCGTGAGCTTTCCCATCTTTTGTTCTTAACCCAACAACCTTGCTTTTGGATTCCTCCACGGTGCTTGTTTTCTCAATAAATGATGCAAAGGTTCCCTCCTCTGAACCAAATACAAACTCGACACCCGCACTCACAGCCAACTTGTAGAAATGATAGCAGGCAGCGCTGCATCTCGTCAGGCCCCCAAGGGAATCGAGTACAGCATCAAAGGTCTTGTGATCTGTGCTGCCTGGAATTTCAAAATCAAGAAGCTTCCCCTCCCACCCAAGCCTTGCTGCACGCTCCCGATCATCGGCATTGCTTTTGACAAATTGGGTGTCTCGGAAGCCGTCCCGTTGCATGTTGGCGAGTGTTTCCTTCTCCAAGGCTGCCAACTCGTCGGAAGGCTGAACACGAAGCATTCCGCATTCGACAAAAAGTGCGTCAGCCAGGCCTTGATTGATTCTCAGCCATGCTTCTCGACTTTCCATTGCCAATCTTTGATAATGCAGCTTTTTGCCATAGGAAGCCCGGAACTGCTTGGTCAGAAACCCGTCGTGACTTGCAATGTCGCCGGCTGGTCTGCCACTTACTATTTTGTTAACATCGACCGAAGCTGCCTGGACCTTCTCGTCTTCATCTGGCTCATATTTGTTCTTGTCGTACTGGTAGCGCTCAAAGACTGTGACGCTGTGGCCTTTTGCCGTGGGCTATGAGTGTGGTTGCATCACAACATGCGGGGGATGGCTTTCTGAAGGCCAATGACATACCGCTTTTCTGCAGGGCGAGGGCCAGAGAAAGGCCGAATATGCCAGCTATTGGGGGTCAGGGAAAAAAAGGTTCTGTCTCATACTTTTGCAAAGGGGGCTCATACCACCGACTACTGCGACGCGCTTCTGATTCTGCGTCATGTTTGTATGGTCTGTGTGCACTCTGCAATACGAGATCCGGACGGTTTCCGCGGCTTTTTTCTTTGTTGAGGGAGCGACTAGAGTTCGCTTATCAGACGCTGCTTATAGCTAAAGACCTGGTTGCTGCCCGGAGATGTGTTCTGTCAAAAGAACCCCCGAAACGAACCATCTAACCCGGACCTAGGACGTGAATGCAGGAAGCAAACTTGCTCATCGACACCTTGATAGACAAGCTTTGGGTACACTCCGGGCCAATAGACGAACACGGCTGCGTGATTAGCTTCAATTTATACATAACACGCCACCTTGATGTCGCATCTGGCTGTTAAATCTCGCTCCACCAGTAGGAATCCCAACGAATCGGCCTTGTTTCATTTCTGATGTTGGTGGTACAGCTGTGCCAAACTGTAAGCCTGTCACCTTATCGAGGGAATTCAAAGACCCATATACAATTTTTTTTTTTCCCGCCGTTTTCGCCGAAGTAAATGGAACAGCCTATAAAACGGATGTTTGCGAACAAACTGGACAAGCTGCCGTGGGCGATTTGATTTCAGCATACAAAGGCAACAAGAGGGATATACCACTATCGCCGTTGAAATGTCGTCGGGCGAGAAGCAAATTTTTGAGACCTCAGCTCTCCAGGCCGGTCCCTACCCAGACAACCCGACCTCGGACAAGACCGGTGCAAATCCAACTTCAAGCTCCGGACTACGGCAACGTGTGCATCTTGTCACCAAGCAAGATATCGACGACACGACGCTCTTTTACAACAGCCACAAGGATGGCGTCGAGCCCATCAAGCCAGATGAAGAAAGACGTTTGAACCGGAAGAACTTTTGGTTCTTGCTCATGCAGACTTGGTGGGTGGCCTTCTTGATTCACCTTGACAAGTCTACCCTGTCTCAGGCCAGTACCATGGGTATTTTCCGCGACGTGAAAATGAGCAAGAGCGAGTACAACGATTTGTTTGTTCTATTTTACGCGGGCTATCTTATTGCCCTGTGGCCGGGTGCTGCTCTTGCGCAGCGAGTTGGACACAAGCAATTCATCACGGGCTCCTTGTTGCTTTGGGCTCTGCTTCTTGGTATGCATCCGCTGGTCAAGACGGGCAAACAGATGATGGGGCTACGATTTATCCTCGGCATGGTACGTAACAAGGCCCCGATATCTTGTGCTTAGTTCGTCAAACATGGCGATGCCTTTCCAAACCTAACCACTTAACCAACAGACGGAATCTCAAATCGTCCCGTCGACCACGGTGCTGCACCAAGCTTTCTTTCCCCCGAAAAAGAGTCCATGGGTCCAGCTACTCTGGTGGGCGTCTGGCAGTTTCGCCAATGTTCTCTTGACCATGGTCGCTTACAAACTCATCATTGACGATCAAGCTGGGGGCCTTGCTGGGGGGATTCCTTCGTGGAAGTGGCTCCATATCATTTGTGTCGTCTTGACTTTTCTTGTCGCAGTGCCTCTCGTCATTTTCCTGCCCAACAACCCATCCGAGGCCAAGTGGCTCACGACCAAGGAAAAGGTGCAAACGATTAGAATCATTCGAGAGACTCACTCGGGTATTTCCAACAAGTCCTTCAAGTGGTATCAAGTGCGTGAGTGTTTTACCGACGTCAAGAGCTGGTTGTTCATGTGAGTTTCCTTTTCGTCGCGTTGGTTGCATCTATGGGCAAATTCTAACAGTTCCATCAAGCATTCACATGTTCTTCAACGAGTTGCCAAATAATACTTCGCAGCAGTTGCCACTCATTCTTGTTGGCTTTGGATTCACCCCGGCCCAAAGTGCCTTGTTCAACATTGCCAAGCCTCTTTGGGGATCATTCCTGATTCTGGTTTCCGCAGCAATGCTCTATGGTACAGAGCTTGGCGTAGGGTACACCTGCGCCATTTCTTACATACCTTGCTTCGTAGGAGGCATCATAATGGTGAGTGCTCCCATCAACCGGGGGGATGAGCGTCGAGGACTAACGGCGCCCAAGGTCTCTGCGCCGTGGTCGAACAAGATAGCGCTCGTCGTGGGAACGCAAATCTCAACGTTCAAGCCCTCGTACCTTTTGGGCTTGTCGTGGGCAGGAACTACCACCATTGGGTATACCAAGAAGCTGTGTTTGATGTCTACATGCATTGTCGCGGCATCTGTCGCCAACATGATATCGCCCGAGTAAGTAGTTGGACGTTTACCTGCGCGCAGCCCTATATCGCAATATGCGTGAACTGATTCATCTTGTGCGGCAACAGATTCTGGCAGGAGCAATACAAGCCTCGATACCTTCTTCCTTGGGCATTCATGACGGCATTCTGGCTCATCTCACCAATCATGTGTCTGATCATCCGATGGTATCTTAGCAATCAGAACAAAAAGCGCGCGAGAAAACTCGAGGAGAATCGAGACAGTGACTCGGAAGTTGAGGGCCTGGAAATTGGCAGCGAGATTTTGCAGTTGAATGACCAGGATCTGGATCTGACTGATAGGCAAAACTTGCGCTTTGTCTACCCGCTTTAGGAATCCTTTGTCAAAGAGTGATTGAAATGGATTCTGTCATGCTTTAATCGACTGACTGTACCAAATCCTGTTGTTGGATCAACCAGAGTGTGACGCGCTCGGTCGGTGGCTGTTTGCCGCATGCCCGCATTGCGTCCTCAAATTTAGTTTTTATCTTCTCTATTGCTGAGCTACATAAATGGAGATTGGATTGTTCCTGTATCTCGTCTGAGTCATTTACACAGCAGCTACTTCAATACATTCCTTGGTGCAATTGTCGCACTGTCAATGCCGTAGCCTGCAGTATTCTTCCAAAAGGATAGATTGCTCCTGCGCCATGCATTTCAGGGCCAATGGTGATGATGACCCCCTGAAAGAGGCCCCAGCCTGCTTGGCCAATCTCACTAGCAGCAACAGAGAACCTATCAGAAGGATTGCCCTGAATGCCTTGAGATGGCTGGGCGCCACCAAGACACCACGACGCGGGCGGCGCGCGTTGGTTGCCGAATAGTGTGGCGGTCAATGAAAGGCAGAGTATGGATATATTGGGCAGGCCAAGTTTGTCTAAGAGACCGAGATATATGTTGGGGGTTAATGGATAGATAGGAAAGGTTGTACGAGTTGTGCCGCGGCTATAGACCCCGTCCCCAGGCGCATCATCCCCCGAGACCCTGACCCGGGCAAAATGCAACGGTTCATCATGTGAACCCGTGGTTAGGAGGATTTCACCGTTAGTGTGGGTGCATCATCACTTGCCATGCGGAGCTCATGATCTAACAATGTTGCACAGGCGAGACACAAGACGCACAGAATCCAATGAGAGCTAACCCGTCCGGTAAGGTGCTTCGAGTCAATATCGTGATCTGCGTTATTCAACCTGCCAGGTTGGCACAGAATTGGCCGTAGCATTGCCGACGACGCGATGCAACGACAATATTGAAGGAACTGGCAAGGGTGGACGGACGCATCTAAGACATTGGTCGCAGACATGGCCATTGCGAGATGTCATCTGAGGCCGAGAGGAGAAGCTTCCGGGCCTCTCACATTCCCCAAGACAATGCCAAAGCTTGTAAAGTACGTAGCACTCCGTGTATATATACATATATAAAGTCATGGATCTGCACAAACATGGGCTTCACCCTGAGCGCGCCAGGTTCAACCTCGTGGGCTGAAGCCATCACCCTGTTCCCATAACTTCTTCCTTTCGTGGAGAAGAACAACAATGGTGCATGTGCAGACACTCGGCTGGCTTTCTGCCATTCTGCTTGCCTCTTTTCCACGAGCCAATGCACAAGGGCTCGGCCGCATAGACCCCCTTGAATACGTTGACGTACTGATCGGGGCAAGTAATGGCGGCAACGTATTTCCCGGTGCAACTGTGCCGTATGGCATGGCGAAGGCGGTTGCAGACACGACCAGCGGCAGCAACCAAGGTGGGTTTACTCTCGATGGTGCTCCGGTATCTGGGTTCAGTGTTCTTCACGACTCAGGAACTGGTGGTTCGCCCTCGTTGGGGAACTTTCCATTGTTCCCATATAACAAATGCGAGGGCGGTGATGTGAACAACTGCGCGTTCCCCAAGAAGACGCGTGTAAATTTTGGCAAGTTTGCCAACGAGAGCGTCAAGGCGAAACCAGGATACTTTGGCATCACTCTTCAAAGCGGACCCCAGGTCGAAATGACAGCTACAAAACATACAGCATTGTTCCGCTTCACCTTCAAGGGCGCTGCTGCGGGCGACAAGCCTCTTATACTCCAGGATCTCAGCGATCTTTCAGACTCGCGACAAGACAACGGGACTATCAAAGTCGACCCCGAGACTGGCCGCATCACGGGCAGTGCCATATTCGTTGCCAGTTTTGGCCAAGGCAAATATCAGCCTTTTTTCTGTACCGACTTTCACGGCACGGACATTGCGGACAGCGGCATCTATGCCGACAGCCGCGCCAGCACTGATGTTCACGAACTCAAGCTTTCCCGCTCAATCAACGGCTACCCTCTGCCCGGCGGTGCCTTTGTTCGCTTTGTTGACGGAAACAACCCCGTCCACGCCCGCGTTGGTATGAGTTTCATTAGCAGCGAACAGGCCTGCGCCAATGCCGAGGGCGAGATGCCCGAATTCGACTTTGATAAGCACGCTCGCGACGCGCAGGATGCTTGGCGACAGAAGCTGTCTCCCATTACCGTGGATCCAAAGGGAGTAGATGGGAGCTTTGTGAAGAACTTCTACTCGGGAGTCTACCGAACCATGGTGAATCCGCAGAACTATACGGGAGAGAATCCACTCTGGCAGGACGGTGAGCCCTACTTTGACTCATTTTATTGCATATGGGATTTATTTCGCTCGCAGTTTCCGTTCCTGACGATTGTTGATCCGGAGGCCGTTGCCCAAATGATTCGCTCACTTATTTCAACGTATGAGCACGACGGCTGGCTGCCAGACTGCCGAATGAGTTTCAGCAGAGGCTACACTCAAGGCGGCTCCAATGCTGACAATGTATTGGCGGATGTTTACATCAAAGGCATCACAGCCGGCATTGACTGGGACAAGGGGTACGCGGCGGTCAAGAAGGATGCTGAGGAGGAGCCATACGATTGGTGCTGCCGCGGCCGAGGAGGCATCGACTCATGGAAGAAGCTGGGATATGTGCCGGTTCAAGACTTTGACTACAAGGGATTCGGAACTCTGACAAGATCCATCAGCCGCACCATAGAGTATGCCTACAACGACTTCTGCATCTCGCAGATGGCAAAGAGCCTCGGCAACAAGGAAGAAGAGGAAAAGTACATTGCCAGCAGTGGAAACTGGCAGAACTTATACAGGGCGGATCAGCCGTCCTCGCTGCCAGACGGCACAACCACGGGCTTCACAGGATTCTTTCAACCAAGATATCTGAACAGGACGTGGGGATACCAGGATCCCCTCAAATGCAGCAACACCGACTCCAAGAGCGTTTGCTCTCTTCAGAATAGTGGCCCCGAGACGTTTGAAAGCAGCGTCTGGGAATATGGCTTGTGAGTATCTTGTACAGAATAACCGAATGCCCAAAATACAGCTGCTGACGACGGCTCAGTTTTGTCCCCCACGACCAAGCACAGCTCATCACCCTCTACGGAGGCCCGGACAAATTCGTCAACCGCTTAAACTACCTCCATGACAAAGGAATCACCTACATTGGCAACGAGCCCGCATTCTTAACCGTCTTTCAGTATCACTATGCTGGGCGCCCGGCTGAATCCGCCCGTCGCAGTCACTTTTACATACCGAAATACTTTTCCCCCAAGCCCGACGGCCTACCTGGCAATGACGACAGCGGCGCCATGGGCTCGTTCCTCGCGTTTTCCATGATGGGGCTATTTCCGAACCCGGGACAGAGTGTGTATCTCATTACGCCCCCGTATTTCGAGAGCGTCAAGATCAAGCATCCTCTTACCAAGAAGACGGCCATAATTAGAAACGTTCATTTTGACCCCACTTACAAGAATATATATATTCAGAATGCCACCCTGAATGGCAAGCCGTACACAAAGAACTGGATTGACCATTCATTCTTCACGGAGGGCAAGGAGCTTGTTCTCACTCTTGGCGCCACGGAGAGTTCTTGGGGGACCGCTGTTAAGGACTTACCTCCTAGCCTCAGCTCGTACACGGGATTCAACGGGACTGAAGGCAAGCGTTCTGTACGGGCACCAAGAGGGGATGGGAGCTATCGCGGAGAATTCCGAAGCGATGATTTGGGTATCTGACGGAATCATTTGGTCAAACGTGTTCTGCGTCGAAGCATTGTATAAAAGCCAATCAATGCGATTCATCTTTTCGCCCACCAGGGGTACATTTGCGATTCCAACTCCCCTTGCCACTTGCATCTAGAGCGTAGCAAGGCCGTCAAGTTGCTATGGTGCCGGCCTTGGAGCAGGAACATCATTGCCGGGAGGGCGCTTCTTCCTGCTTTCCATCCACTCGCCTCCCCTCGCATAGCCTTGCCACAGCGGCAGTATGAACGTTGTCAGACTCTGCGTATTGCTCAACTCCTCGTATAGCCCCTGGGATTTTCCGCTGACAGCTCTGAATAGTGACTGGCCTTTTGGTCCCTTGTATTTGTACAAATCGACGCCAACCTTTTTGGCAACTTGCGCTCAGCGAAGGGGAGCCCCGAGGTTAAAGTGCGAGCAAGGCCAACTTCTTCGGGCTCCGAGACATTGGCATTGATTTGGTTGTTAATAAAGGTCTTTGCCTTCTCAGGGATGTTTGCGGCGAGGCTTCGATTTCCAGTAAATGAGGCACTCTGCATGCTGGCAAGTGTTCCGTGACTGGTGGTAGCCCGCAACTTCAGATTTACCAAAAGGTAATTCGTACAGCCACGCCACGAACTGCACGTTCCGATTTCTTTTTTATATCAACCGTGTCCATCTTGGTGCCCCTATTTTGAGAATGGAAACTGCATCTAGCACATTGATGTACTCCTGGCTGAAGTCGATGGTATCAATACCCGGGTCCGGCGTTTGCGCAGGGGATGATCTGCGCATGGTCCAGATCAGGGTTCATCTGCGTATCATTGTCAAGAAACAAGGCTTGGAGAATAGCAACTACAATACTTTGGATCGTGGGTGTAGTACGACGCCAGGCTGAGGAAGTAACTCGAGTTGAACATCTTGCCGACTCTAAGCCTGCGTTGGTACTAATCCGCCTCGGGGTTCCGTTTCAAATCCCTTGGACGTGAGGGCATCCACCTGCAGAGGCGGGATTCGGCCATCAGCAGGGCGCCTGTGAGACATAATCATGAATTGTGCCAGTGGGTGATGCCTTGGCCTTCGCCGCGAGTCGAGTCTCGCATTCTGTTTGACACCAATCAACGCAATGCAACTCCACAACTCTAATAAAAAGAGATAGATTATCGAGTTCTTTACCCTGATCAATCTCCCCGACAGCACAATGTGCAGACAACTGCATCGGCGGGCCTGGTGTTCCGACAGGATATAGTGTTTAGCTCTTGTGGCTTGCGCAGAAACTCCTCTGCAGTGTTGCCACGGCGCATGCTCCTAGGGGAACCGCTATTACCGTTCCTTGTGGCTTTTATTTATACGCTATATTATAATTAGTAATTGCGTCACGGCAGTACGGCGTTTCTGATAGCTGCCTTTTGGCAAGCGTCTCACCGACATACTCCTGCCAACCTGATGTGATCTTTGCACATAGCGACTAGGTAAATAAATGTGCGACCACGTGCCATTATGGAATGAGGATCGCAGGCCGGTTTTAGAGAATTCAAGAATGACGGTATGGAGAATGACTGGCGTCGGACACGTAGTCCCAAAATGTCTGCATCCCGAATCTGCAAGACAGAAGTCAGGCGACGAGCTGAACAAGTGGGGGAAGAGGTTCGGAGCTGCAGTTATAGTTGCAGTAGTTACTTTTCCAGGAGACCATTGACCCATCAATAAATGGCGGTGGCGCTGTCAACCGTGATCCATCTCATGACGAGCATGCCTGCCAAAGTCTTCTCATGATAGACAGCTAATGCCGCTTGCCACGAAGCAACAACTGGATGGTCTCTGGACTAACAGGAAACGACACCGGCCAAAGTCCAAGTCGTCAACAAACTACGCCGAGGACTCGAAGCCATGATGCCTCGGTTCAGCAAAAGGTCAAGCCCAGCTCCTCTGGGAAGCGCAAAATTCCGCATCACTGTGGCCTGCACTACCTGTCGCAACCAGCATTTGCGGTGTGATGGAATAACTCCTACGTGTACACGCTGTAGAAAAGGCAATAAGCGATGCGTGTACAAAGATTTACGGCGGCAGAGTCGCCGTCTACCGAACTGCAATGACTCAACGACCCTGGGATCAGATGCAAGTCCGTCGGGGCATACCGGGCCCTCACGAAAGAGCTGGTCCGTATCAGACGGCCTGCAGCCTAACAGCGCGCGGTACACTGGTTTTAACGATGACATGTGCTCTCTTGACGACTCTGCTGGCCTGTTCAGCGATCCCTTTGCTGCTCCGCAGGTTGTGAACCCCCGTCAAAGCAAAGCCCTTGACAGTTTCTACGCCTCCTTCTTCAAGGGCCATCCATTCGTGCTACCAAAAGCTCGCCTCGTCAACCAGTTTGACAAGGATCCGGAATCAGTGGCCGATGTAATAAGGGCGATGACCTTCATTGGCGCGCTGTATCTCCTGGATCCTGCGTCGCATGCATACCGGGCCGCCGTTGAGACAGCGATTGCTAACCGTCTCCCACGAAATGGATTTAGTGTGCAGTGCCTCCTGCTATATGCCGGCGCCCTCGAATGGAGTGGCGAACAAGACTTTGCGCGTAGCACCATGGATAAGGCCAAGTCGATGGCTCTAGCTATCGGACTACAATCGCAGCGGTTTGCAAGTGAGCATAGCGATGGCTGTTTGGTGTTGGCGGAGAGCTGGAGACGGACATGGTGGGAATTGTACGTTATCGATGCCATCTTCGCAGGGAGTCGACATTTACCTACCTTTGAGTTGTGGCATGCCGAGTACGACGCCGATTTGCCCTGCGAAGAAATGGATTACATCCAAGGCGTAAGAGAGACCTGACGCTGCCGTCGCAAAACACTAACAAGGCTACTGTAGAACATTCCCCCACCGCGGACACTTGCAGAGTACGATAATCGTGCGTTTGAAGATAGTGGCAGTTTGTTCTCTTCATTTGCCTATCTTATAGATGCTTCACGAATGCTGGGCACCGCGTTACCGACCGTGGACGAGGAAGGAGATGAGATCACATCGCAGGTCAAGAATGCCGAGGCCAACATTACGAGTTGGCATTTGTATCTTCCCGAGAGGAAGAAAGAGCCTGTGCAACCAGACGGATCTGTTGACGAGATCATGTTCCGCGCCCACATGTTGCTCAATACGTACGTCGACGCTCGTCGCAGCCGGTGTCATCTCGCTAACCTCGCAGCGTGACAACACACCTCCATCGCCCTCGGTCGAGACTTCACTGCAGTACCATGGAGATCTTGTGTTCCAGATATGCCCCGCCTCAAAATGTCAGCGTCCTAGAAGTCTTCAACGAGCGTCACACGATGCAGGCCGTCAATGCCTCCAAAGCGTCTGTCGAACTTTTCACACTCTCTGCATCTCCGACAACCCACACTCCGTTCATCATGTGTATGGGATCGATGGCTGCAGCAACGCACATATCTGCTTGGGAGTACTACCTGAAGGGGTCTGAGTATGCTCATGCCAAGGATCGTGTTCGTGTCTTCCTCGGCGCGTTGAGAGCTTTCGAGGACATATGGCCCCAAGCAAGGAAGTGGTCCGGGGAGGTCAAGCTCATGGCTAAGGCAGTCTTCGATAGCAGGGGAAAAAACGGGGAGCTCATCATGCAGAATCGACAGGACGGCGTCAGCAGCGGGCTCGGAGCTGGCGTTGCTGGATTGGATTTGGCCTTGTTGAGTAGCTGCTTTGAGGGTTGATGCCGGACTGAGATCATGGTTGGAAACATTCTGTATGTAGGCGGAAAGTTATTTATATAAACTTGGAAAAAAGGTCTGTAGAAATCAGAAAGTATTACTACTCGCCCGAACCCACGAACTCAATCACCGCTTTGCCATCTCTGCCTCTCCGACCGCCATACTCCCAAGCCTCAAGCCCCTTGTCGATGCTAAACGACTTTACAGGAATAGGCGCTAGTGTACCCTCATCCAGCAGACTCGTGAGTTTGGATAAGATTGCACCACTTGCTGTGACAATAAAATAAACCCACTTCACATCAGGGTGTTCCCTCAACTCTTCCGGGGTTGCTCTCCCAAATGACCACGGCGGCGGAGGATCAGCCACTGTCACGATACTGCCATTTGGCTTGACGCATTTCCAAGTCTTTGAGAGAGTTTCTCCGCCCACTGTGTCAAGTATCGCGTCAACATCCCAGGCCGAATCCTCCCAATTTGGCCAGTGGTAGTCCACCGTAATCGCGGCCCCCAGTGATTTGAGGTACGCATGGTTTTTTGCCGACGCGAGAGCAACGACTTCGCAGTTCAAAATTTTGGCTGCGATTTGTACTAGCACAAGTCCAACAGCACCGGAAGCACCTGTGATGAGAACCTTTCCGCCCTCGCGCACTTTGGCATGCTGATGAATAGCTTCCCAAGCCGTCAAGAATGGAATGGGCAGCGCAGAAGCCTGCGCATGCGATATAGAAGTCGGTTTCGGGGCGATTTCTTCCGGAGAGACGATGGCATACTCTGCCTGTCCGCCGGCATCCGATGTTGCCTTCAACATGGCAAACACTTGGTCACAAACTTTCAAGGGTCCCATGTAAGCTGGGCCAAGGGCGTCGACGACACCGGATATGTCGTGGCCCGGAATCCTGGTGGAACTGTCGTATAATTCCGGCCACGTCACCTCGTCAGCGGTAATGCTTGCTGCGTGGACCCTAACAAGAACCTGGTCTTGTTGAGGACTGGGTTTGGCAGCAGCCATGTTGAGAATAACCTGGTGGCTGCCTTTGGAGCCAGTGACTTGGATTGCTTTCATCGTCGGAAAAGATGTACCTGACATGGGAACTTTTGATGTGAGGTGAATGCTAAAGAGAGCCTCGGATTGCTTGAGATGCTGTTCTTGCGACTCTTGGACAAAATGGGCCTGGTTGGTGCCACTTATATTAAGCATTTTGATGTCGAGCTTGTTCTTTGGATCGGGTCGAAAGATGACGTGAATTCCGGGTCGGTCGGGCCACTCGGGTCGGAGTGGGCGTCCTTCGGGCTGACATGGCTGTACAAGCAACCAAGTAACCCAGAATGCAGAGTTTGAGGAATCAACTCTGTATATTCCCTTGCAAACACATATTTCTGACCCAAGCCACCCCAGTATTTAATCGTGAGCCGACGATGGACAGATGCTCCCAATAATCCTCCATAGCTTGGGTACAAGCTTGGGTAGAGGAGAGACCATCTTCATAATTCCACACGATTTCTTCCAATCATCAAGAGCAAACAAAATTTATTCACCTAATGCACAGGGAATCTTGCAATGGAGTCAAGTCAATGCAGCTCGTAAGTTGCGCCACCGGTCCGACGGCTGTAACCCTCACTTACACCAGTAGGACGCGTCCTCGAGAAGGCCTAGGCATTATATTCGACCACAAGCTCACCAATGCTCCCGCGAAATCCATTTTTGGGGTTCAGCTTGAATACCATCCAAAAGGATTCACGACGCCCCATCGCCATGGTGGCGCTAACGTCGTCGCTGTTATCCAAGAGGGTCAGGGCCTCAGTGGCATGAAGGGCAACCCACCAAAAGTCTATCATCCTGGAGAGAGCTTTTCGAGCTGCCAGGTTATCACCATACCGTTGGTGACAATAATAGAAAGGTGGAAGGGGCAAAGTTCATGGCAGTTTTGGTGGTGGACACGGAGGTGCTCGAGACTCAGGGCTATGAGGGGCTCATGATACTGGACTAGCTGTTAGATTGCAAAGTTGCAGTTTCGTCATTGCAATATTTGGAGTAAAATGTGATCATCTTAGGCTTTAATAGAAAACAGCCAAGGAATGGTATATAGTCTAAACTTGAATTTCTGGAGGCAGGATCTGTCAGTTTGAAGTGAAGCCATGTCGCTAGCATTCATGAGAGAAGACTTCGTAAGAAACTTGGCCTAAAGAAAGAAGCTTGCTACAGCAGGGACCGAGACATTCCCGATGATTTCCTTCCAAAGATTGTCTCTCAGCGAGATCCTGAAGATATCCCTGGGCATCAGGAGCGATTCAAGTAAGCTAGAGCTTCGCTGCATATTAACTGAGACTGACTTTTTGCAGGTCGACAATTAATGATTCAACTAAAAGGGCAAGCCATTAGATGAATATACTAGAATGGGAGCCACAAACTTGGTAGGAAACCATGGAAGAATACAGATTTGCACCTTTTGGGAGTGGCGAGAATAGTGTGTAGTTGTCCGTTACGTGATGGCTTTTATCAACTAAATTCATTGCATGACGTTGAAATCGACCAACTATAATTCACGCCAACTTACCGCGAATGCCTTCCTATCGGCTTCGTATCAGTGCATGCACATGTACGGTGTCAAACTTGCTCCGATACAGACCTGTTTAATTGGGACTCCTTTTCACGGTAATGTCTGTTATTTGCCAGGCGCAAGAGATGCGCAGGGTGGTTTGCCGGCCCGTATTGGCTGGGTAGAGTGACAGTGGGCTTATAACTGTTCCATTATTGACAAGATGGAGAGAGATAGCAACCCTAGTATCGAGGGTTCCTCCACTCGGCAATATAATAAGATCCACAGTTCAAGTGGACGTCGCTGGGGGCCTTGCCAACACATAACACCGCAGAGGCAATTGGCCCTTGGGTTTGCCTCATTCTGGTACTCGGGTTCTCGGCTTGCTTGTACGATCATAGAGTCGGAACTCGGCAAGATATTTGTCACGAGGCTAGCTGACTTGACAAATAGTGGCCTTAGTACTGCCAATTTGAGGATAGGTTTGGAAATTGAGTTTCAAATACTCAATCCCTCGGATCTTTGACGGAATTCAACTGCCGTTTGAAGCTATAGCATTTGATACACTTTGGGCTATGACTTATGTACGTCTTCAGACATGTATCGGAAATTGAGTATAAATAAAGAAGTAATCCCAACGGCCTCTTGAAGTTAATTTATCACAATACACAGACAGCCGCTTTCAAACTCTCAAATCAGAAGCTAGCCTATTAAGCCCCCATTCACTCCAAGTCGTCATGAACTTCTTCCAGTCCAAGATCATCCTCGCCGCCGTCGCTTGGCTCGCGTTGGCTTCGCCAGCTATGGGTATTGGTCAATTATTTCCCGTCCTTACATTTCATAGCTCGCTAATAGGATCTAGCTTGCCGAAGTTCATCTGAATGCCCCAAGGGCAAGATTTGCGATCAACAGAGACTCTCCCCTACCTTTGGCAAGTGCATCTAGGAGCTGCAATGGCAGACATTGCTAAGGAGGTGCTTATGGGAAGCGGTGCGGCACAGATAGTACAAGTCTCGGTGCAGGTTTTGTCCTAGGAGCTTGGCTAGGTTTCCCTGCATTGTTATGCAAATGCAGAGACTAACCCTTGATGCATTTACTCGGCGGGCTTTGGAGGGGTGAACTTTTCAGCTAGAGAATGAGTAAAGAATTGATGCTTTATTTCTTCTACTACTATTATTATTCTTATCGAATTATTAGTGGTATCCAACATGTTTCTTCGGTCTTGCACCCTCGCAGGAAGCTCAAGGATTCCAATTGCAATAACCCCGATGCGAGGTCCAAATCGAGCCCGGTCCAAAGCTAGTAAAAAGACTACCCGGCCCGAAGCTCTTAACAACTCGGCTACGAGCTTTCAGCCTGGCCATCTAGAAAGGCCCTTTGCCGGATTCTACTTCACCAGCTTTGGTAAGAGATTCGCCTAGCCGCCATTTGGGCTAGACAATACTTGGACGGATAGGTAGTATGACTATGCATCCGTGCTGCCGACATCTGTTATTTTCCGACATCGGTGAACTAAGTAATATAGTAAGCTGCGCGCACCTAGAATGCTAGATTTAGTCCCTTCTTGTGAATTTTCTTAGCCGCAAAAGCTGACATCTCAACAACCGCCTCGTATACGTTTATTGATGAAGGACTTATTCAACCTAGTATAAACTCTGTATAATACGCCGTTCTTTTCATTAAAGCCTACTTGAACCAACCCTTCAACCTCGAGAAGAATAACTCAAGTGAATCCCGTAGGATAAGAGATAGTTCATAGAGTGTCCTTCCTCTTACCTGCGCAACTTAGTCACAAGCAGATCGTCACAGTAGACAACGACAGATGGGCCACCAGTCGAATATCTCAAGCCCTTTTCGGGGTTCCAGTTCGGCCGATATATGCCCTGCTTGAAGTACGGAGCTTCAGTTTGATGGTAATTATTTGATCCTTTATGCACAGCAACGGTTTTACCATTAAGAATTACCGTTATTGTGCCGTTTAACTCAGGGCGGGACCAATCAATCCGAAAATACCACTGGTTCCATTCACCCTTCGCGATTTGACCGAGGTCGTACGTTCGAGCCTTTGGTTTGCTGTCGTTCGGGTTCTCTAGGTGGCACACATGTAGTGACCAACGCATATCCCTGACAGAGAGCGCGATCGGGGGGTTCGTATTTTGGCCATTTGTGAGTTTAAACCCATGCCACTGGGCGACAATAGTGTTAAAGGACGTATCTACCCAGTCTGTGGGAAGATAATTGACGAATGAGAAAGAGAAGGATCCGTATCCCAGTGAATTCTTTGCTATCTCGGATCGCCAAGAGACTCCGTCATTGGGCAAGGTAAACTTGGCCGATTGCTGTCCGTGGAATACCGGGTTGGCTACTGCGGTAATCGAGCCACTGCCATCGATTCTGTAGCGTGTATGTTTGAATTGTGGCGCAGATCCCTCAAAGTCGTCGGAAAAAGCAACGACGGAGTGCAAAGTGCTATCTGGGTAGATGGTAGTTGCACTTTGCACCGGGACAAGAGCCAAGGGGACCGCAGACACGGAAGCCACCAAGGAAGAATGATTGCCTCCCATGCCGTGGAGGTCAGATTCGGGCGGACAAGCTGTATAACGACGACGCGGGAGAAGAGATGGGGCAAGCACAGTAATTCGAAAGCTGTGTATACCACTTGCAGCCGTGTTGCGCTACGTATAGAGTACAAGCAAAATGAGAGGGCTTTTTTTTTCTTTTTGAGCAACTATGGGACAGAAAGCAAATAAGTCTCCTTAAGCCGTACATGTGCATACCGTTATATACGATTATGTCTCTTGGGGAGCTCTATATATACATGAGGCCATATAAATGGTAGGGCTATTGAGGGCTGTATGCATAACGCTGTTTTCAGAACCGCAGCCGGATTTTGCCAGGCCACTAACCCCCGCACTATATTAATAAACAGCAATATATTGAACTTTTTTCCTCCATCGCGTGTTAAATGCCTGCTCCGTAGTGGAGTCACCAAGAAAAGAGGATCAGGAACTCACCGTAGGGCAGCGGGAAAACTATATGTAAAAACTAAGATGGGGTTACGACAGCGGCTACCCCTGGAAACAGAAAGAAGACAATTTGTATCATTTTCAAGACTAATACCACTATAGCCCAACCGTCGAGGTGGGAGAAGAGCAGAAAACGACTACTACCTATAATAAAGTGCATCTGTTGGCTATTAAACAAGAGCAAAGGGGCACAAGGCAAAGGCTGGCACCACGAAACCTCTTGGTGTTCACACCAATAGCAGGCATTGCCTATAGCTTGGAAAAATTTCTTATTCATCCAGAGAGAGCTAAAGCTAGCTGACTATGTTCTACTTTGTAGCGGCTTATAATAGAGGCATTTCATCTTTCTGTGCATGTCTTTTCCTTGAGCCATGATTGAGAAGCACAATCAGTGACGGTGGTGGCCTTCAACCAAATCTTTTGCGGCAACTTTTCTGCATTCCTCCAAGATCCTTAATTGTTCGGCAACCTCGGCCAATCTGCTAATGACTTCCTTATTTCCCCGCGTAAAGCTAAATATCACGTAAGGAATCCCGACGTCGTTGCAGAACTCCTTGACATATTTTTGGGCGCGGCGCAAGTTATGTCTCGGGAGACGAGGGAACAAATGATGGACGACTTGAAACTGGAGGCCGCCATGTACAAAGTCCAACCAGGGAGGGCAATCGACATCCATGGTCGTCCGCGCCACCTTCTGGGCAAACGACTCGTGGACACCCAGATCGGCGCTCGACATGGCGAAGTGACTGAGTGTGAATTGCACGTGCAAGGGCCCGGTGACCATGTGCGAGATGAGCAGAAACGTGATGCGGGACGACCACGTCGGGATCGAGAGGTATAGCGTCCGGTAGCCGAACCAGTACCAGAAGAAGACCTGGCCAGCCATTTCAAGATGGCGATGCCACCACGCCGGGCCCTTGCGCGGCGCTTGTGCCGGATCTAGAAGATATAACCATGCCAGGCGGTACAGGTTGAAACGACCCATTAACAGGATAGGATAGTAGAGGTAATGCTGATGCTTAATAAAGAACTGAGATGCGGCATCGAATTTCATCACGTGGTCGTAGTAAGTCGAGCGCAGGGAAGAAAAAAATCGAGAAGAAATGGCGAAAAATGGCATGTGCTGGATGTCCGGGTCGTGCTCAGGCGAGTTGGTTACGATGTGATGTATATTGTGATTTCGTTTCCACCAACCGGCTGAAAGGCCACCGAGGAAATCTGCAATCAAGATGCCGATGCAGCTGTCCGTGTGGAATCCATGTGTTATGCTAAGGTGAGCGGCGTCGTGAGCGGCGAATGTAAGTAGTTGCCAGAATAAGCCCAGGCAAATGCTCGAAAGGGTGTAATGGGAATAGTGAAGAAATGTCCGGAAGAGAACGAAAAGGATCAAGTATCTGGCGAATTCGACAGCGTAGCAGCTATATTCGCACTGGTAGAGGCCTTTGGATCGCAGTTTCTCATCGAGCTGGCGGTATTTTGAGGCAACCTCGTCTTGTGATATTTTGTCAAGAGGAGGATATTTTGAAACGTCTGTTGATATCGCGTGGGCCGTTGACGCTTCCACAAGTCTGAACTGCCTCGGCTCCGCCTCTGATGAGAATAGGGATGACGTTGAAGAAGTAGGCGAATCATTACCCGTACGCCTTGGGCGAACTGCGTCTCCTGTCTGTTCGATTTCGAAGACGGATGATGATGGTGTCGATGTTCCAGATGAGCTAGCATCTGTTTCGGCCGGTAACGCTTCGTCGCCGTCATTCTTCGACACGGGCGGTCTGAATATTCCTCCCTGTATCGGAGGCAAAAAGTTTTCCCATGACCCCTGGACTCTTCCTATCGCATACTTTTGCATTTGTGCCTGTGCCTCGGCTGAGTGTAGCGCTGCGATTTCGTCCGTGGCATCACGACCGACCATGTGCAGTATTGATTTGTCCCCGCCCGGATGATATGGAAGCCATGCGTCGACCCTTAGCACCTGACCACGTAATATGATTATCTTTCGCCCATCTGCTATCAATCCTTCTATTTCCCTCCGAGACCAGACACGGTCTCTGTGTGACACAACCGACGCCATGGTCTAGTGGTGGGTGCAGCCAAATTGAAAATAACAATGTCTCGGACAAATCGAATCGTTGTAACAAACAGAAAAGGAAAAGTCCCGCTGAACGGAGCCAGGCCCTTAATAAGGGTTCAACTGGTGAGATTATTCGTCATCCCCCTGCTGCCCTGTCGTAATTTCCGTGTAAATTCCGACACCCGCGGCTGAAGGGGCCCGTGCTAAAAGCGCCAGAGGAGATGACGAATAAGATAACATCATGGAAGGTATCAATTGATGTACTAGTAGTTCACAAGCCCGCCAGTTCCGGTGGTGGGCTGATGTTGAGCTGCAGTTTTTGCAGACCCATGTCATGTTCCTGCAGGTAATTCCTGTTCTGGCGGGACACAGCGGACGATAAAAGGCTGCCTAGAGTGATTGCGTGGCCCAGCACTTGTGAAACGAGGCCGAGTTATGACGAAGTAGAGAGATCAAGAAAGACAGTGGCAGCGCTTCCATCTTGAATCAAAGCAAGATCCACAGCCGTCACTTGTTACCGAACCCGAGCAACTAATCAAATAATTAGCCTTAGTCCAGTAAGTAATCAGGGAACTTTTGTGGTTTGGGAGTGAGTATATTTACAAATCTCCGGTTTGCTGATGCCAACTAGTGACAGTGTCTTCCGTCTTTTCGCGCAACTTGAGCATAATGACATATTTATTCTATTCAATGCCTACCGTTATTCCTACCACTGCAGATAATATTGCTAGTGGCTAGTCTTTACCCTTATCTCTTATTTGTTCCGAGCAACATGTCTGCAGTGCCTCGAGGCAAGACATAATTTGCATAGATTAAGGTACACAACACCAACCGCAGACAATGCCCCGTCGTCATAGTACCATCGCTTCGAACGACCCTTAAGGGAACTTCGTGGAGCGCCTGATTCATCGCGAGGGACATGGACTGAAATGGTCGAGTCGTGGCCAATAAGTCACTTATCACCCACTCCGTTGTGGCAGAGTACAGCTGGTACGCCGTAAAGGCTCAAAGTAAGCATACATTCCAGCCACTGTTGTTATACGGAATACCGTCACCGTCATATATATTGCTATACCGTCTCCATGAGTAGGAGGCCTCCACTTTGAGCGGATTCGTTCAACAACTGTAATTTTTAACTGCTCTCGAGATAAAATGTGCGCGCCTCTGCCAAAGCTCTTCCAATCTTGAAGCTCGAATGGATGCGCCACGTGGCCGGGATCCGGATAAAATGCTTCTGAAGGGGAAACAAGCGGCAATGGAATATAATGTTCTTGACCACTAAGACGGGCAGTTCTAACACCCTCGACATATTCCGCTTGGCCCTATTACGTGCGCACTTTCAAAGACATGCGGCACAGCCAGCCAGACTTGACCTATAGGCACCAGGGTACCTTGACATTTCTAACTCAATCCAGTTAGTAGGTTAACGGAGCCCAGTTCAGAAACTACAAGTTCATGGTCTGCGACCTCTCGTCCCAATTAGGTCCTTGTTAAACGTGTGAGTGAGCCACAAGTACAATGGTGTCTCCCTTGGGCAAAAGTCATGGCCATCCGCGGTAGTGGTGTTGGTTGACGCAGGTCTCGCCCAGACTCGGTTCGGAAACATAGACGGGATGAGCAAAATACAAAATACATGTTAGTCATGTTCTTCCCAACCACATTAACGCCCCAACAACTTCATTCTTACACACTCCAAAATACCATCCTGAGGCACTACCATCATGTCCACTTCAACCGATGCGAAGCGAGTCTTTGTCGCCGTCACGAACCTACACCCGCTTCACGTTGCTTCATGGGACTCGCCTGATAAAGTATTCCAACACGCGCTGAAGCTACTCCAGAATACCGGGCTCGTCGCAACAGAGAATCCAGATTATCAGTTCATAGCTAAAGAAAGATATAACAAGATCTTCTTTATATACGACATTGGCAACGTTAATTTCAGGCTAGCAACCGCACATCTGCCTGGCGACAATGACCTCCCAGTTCTTTGTGTCACCTTGGGCAAGGAGGAACATGTTCAAGCAGCCAGCCGGCCTGTTGAGAATCAAGTCAATCTGAGATTGCGAGAAATATATGAGTGTCACGGCTATGACGCACATCCGCCCTTCTCAATTGACCACGCCAACGGCAATATCCCAACCTACACAAGCCCCCGAACGCTCTCGCATAGTGTAATTCCTTCCCAGTCTCATTGACGAGGTGATGGGTATGCACAAATCGGACATTTAGGAGTTCTGTCCCAAGATACGTTCGCTCAGGGCGCTCCGTGACGATGGTCTTGCCCGCAATTCATCATTTGCAACGTGGATATGATGGCGTCACATTCAGAACATGCTTTGACGAGATATCCGCACATTTTCGATGTTGCGGGACCTGAGATCCGATTCATCGGAGACTTTTCAGCTAGACGATGACTACTTACAGAGTACACTCGTGGAGTTTGAAAGCGCTTTAGGTAGAAAGATATGAGTACGATTTTCCTTGGGTCCCCGAGCATTTGTGCGGTCTTCGCAATATATACAGAAATACCTGACTAGACTGGGACTGGGACTGATGGGGGTTCCAAAAGCGGCCAAGGCCTGTTTAATTGCTCCTTCTCGATCAGAATGGCATATAAAAGTATTAATACAATTAGCTTTATGCACATTTAGTACACGCCAGTTCTTGAAAATGTCAAAACCACGATTCAAGCTCCTGCTATGAGTGTCAAATGCACACATCTTTACAGCCAAAGGGTCCAGTCGAAACCAAGCCAGGTCAGATTTGCTGCACCACCACCATACGACTGTAAACCTCTTGGGCAGTTGAAAGCCTTCAACGGGTGAGTTTCAGCTTCCATCTCATAGCTATAAAATAATGCTAAACACTACATAATATAAATTGAATCTATTGGTACGACTGAGCATGCATCGGGACTGTTCCTCCATTATTGCATTGAATAGGATAATGCCCGGCATAAGAATCGCTCCTGCATGCAAAGTGATGCCCAGCATCTTTTCAGGTCTTGGAGAAAAGGGTTTCCCTCAAACCTCTTTATGAAAACAAGGTTATAAATGTCACGGCTAAAATGCTTATGGGTGTTAACATCCAAATTGATACGCATCGTGGGAACAAGAACTACTAGTATATGCGACCTGTTAAGACAATAACGCTCGGCCACGTGCAGCGGGTGGATGTCGGTGACCCTGGACTCAACTATGCCGCAATGCAAACCCTTCGATGCCCCTTAGACACGGCCTATCATCCAGAGTGGCCATCAAGTTCAAGAAGGAATGGTGGATTCACCATCTTGGTCAACAAAACATCAAGAGGGGCGGTCGAGGAGACTCAGACCATAACACTCGCACACTCTTGAATTCAGTGCATAATATTTACCATGACAAACGCAGCACCGCAGTGCTTCTCTGCTCGTACACATGACGGCAGGACCCCAAGCAGCCGGGGTACTCATATCTACCTACCCAACTATGATTAGAGCGTGGAAGAGGTGGGATCAAAAAATGTACTCATCATCGCTCGTGCGCCCACACGATCGATAACATGTCGGATAAAGTATTTTTACCACACGATTCTAAGACCACCAGTACACTCGTTCCTCTCTGTGTGTGTCCTGACAGTATATGTATAGCTCGAAGTGGTGATGGTGACACGCCTAGACTATCAGAGTAGTTGAAAGGAAACACGTTCAAGTCGGGATAAAACGGATATATTGTCAGAGGCCATAGTGAGAGAGAGCCAATGTGTGCATCCTTATAAGCCGGATATCGGGGATATTCGGCCAGGGGCGGCTATTGCTGAATCTTTCGCTTCCGTGGCCTGGTCGTATAGCCCGACAACCACTCTGACATATTGGTATAAGGGTACTTACGCTAGAGCTCACTCAATTTGTTAATAAGACTAGCAGCCTTTGGTTCATACATGATTGAGATGACGCAACTATTGATTGTTTACTTTAATTTTGTATGTCCTATCAAGATCAGTGCACTGGTGGAAAGTGTTCTTCTCAAAACACACTGCATAGTTGCTGTGTTCTAGTTTGGCTAGCGTAACGCATTCGGCTGCGCTTGCTAAAGGCCCAAAGCAATTATACCGGCTGGCCAAGTTCTGTGACTAAACTTGACGTATCTTGGGTGGCGGCCCGTCTTACCATACCCTAGCACTACTTTCTGCGTTCCCCTCCGAGTATATTGACGGCTTTTTCTGCCAGGGCCTGTCACCGAGGTGGCTTAGGCGTTTCCAGCCCATCACCCGTTAGTGGATTTAACGGTGCGTAGCCCCAGAGTTTCATGATGCTCATCATCTGTTGAGAGTATCGCTCTGGTCCCAGCCTTCTCCGAGCCTGGAAAGCATCGACAGCACCAGTCAACACTGACCCGCCCGTACAATCTGGTCCGAATTTTGGTTCATGGGCTGAAGCAAGGCAGCTGTACCCGGGGGAGGAAGCAAGAAGCGGCCGATCGGGTGTGGGTATTTTGTCTCGCGGGGTTGATTGCGAAGCATGTAATTGGTGTCAATGTTTGCCGACGGTCGGCAATAATCTGTGCCTCATCGTTTTGGGGACATATGTGCTTCCTCTCGGGATATAAATGGGACAGAGCACTTCAGTCGGTTCGTTTCCAAACCACACACCGCATATTCACGGTCAACTGTCGTGATAGGCTCGTCAAGAACAGGAGAAGAAGTGAGTCCAATGGCAGTCGATATTGTAACCCAGGCTCGTGCCATCGTCAACGCCAAGTTGGACGAGTTGAACGACGGCCTGCATCGAGTTAACAAGACACTTCATGCAAACCCAGAGCTTGCATACAAGGAGTTCATCGCCCATGACACAATTACAGCCTACCTCGAGAAGCTCGGTTTCCAGGTGGAGAAGAGCGCGTGGGGATTAGCCACAAGCTTTGATGCCACGGTTGGATCTGGCGATGAACAAGTCATCTTCTGTGCCGAGTATGATGCTCTGCCGGAGATTGGCCATGCCTGTGGCCACAACCTCATTGCCATGTCGTCCATCGGGGCCTTCCTCGGAGCGGCAGCCGCCATGTCGGCGCTCAAAATCGATGGCCGTATCAGACTCCTGGGGACGCCGGCAGAAGAGTCTGGCGGAGGCAAGGAGGACCTCATCAAGGCGGGTGCATTCGACCCTCCAGAGAGCGTCGTCGCGGCCATTATGGCTCACCCAATGCCAAAAGGCCTTGTCTCCCAGGGGAATTACTCGGGCCTGGCGGGGATGAAGCTGATTGCTTGCAAAGGCACGCTTGTCGAGTTCAAGGGTCGAACAGCCCACGCGGCCGGTGAGCCGTGGAAAGGTGTCAACGCGCTCGACGGAGCCGTCGCGGCATACAACAACGTGTCTCTCTTGAGGCAACAGATGCACACTGAAGATCGGGTACACGGTATTTTCGAAGTCGGAGGCGCGGCGCCTAATGTGATCCCCGACTACACCCGCATGAACTGGCTAGTTAGAAGCCCGACTGCGGCGGGATGCGACAAGCTCATGGAACGAGTGACCAAGTGCTGGGAGGCTGGGGCATCCGCCTCGGCTTGCGAGATGAAAACGACGAGGTTTGATCGAATCCCATTCTTCTTTTCACTTTGCTCCAGGGGTGCCAAGAAGCTAATCAACATCACATACGAATAGACAACACAACTACTTGAATCTCCGGGCCAATGATGGCCTGTGCCAAATCTACGTTGATGAAATGGCCGCCTTTGGCGAAAACATCCTTCTCAAAATGGATCGGGCGTTGAACGCATCCACTGACATGGGCAACGTATCCCATCTTGTACCGAGTTTCCACGGTGGAATAGGCATACCCGCGGAACCCGGCGTTGCCATGCATAATCCACGCTTCGCCGCCGCCGCCGGGACGGATGAGGCTCACGGAGCGGCGATTCAGGCGGCAAAGGGTATGGCCATGCTGGGGTTGAGGGTACTTTTGGACAGAAAAGTTGCCGCTCAAGCGCGTCTTGACTTTGAAAAGGAGGGCGAATAGTATCACAAACGCAGCATGTACAGATTCAGTAGGCCAGGAACACAGAAGGACAAACCTAAATCAGAACACGTGCGTTTGCAGAATAAAACAATTGGCTGATATATTTCTGTCTTGCTGCCCAGAGCAGTGGATTGTTCTAAACCGGTCACTGTCCACCAGACATCCAAGACGGTAGTTGTGAACCGGGAGCCGTAAATTGACTCACGCCGCGTTGCCCAGGAGCAGGAGAACCTGCAGCATGCCACCAGTAGTAATTCTCCGCAGGGGAATGGTTGCAGAAGATGTTGGGGGCAGGAAAACTCGAAATGTGACTGGCTGGGACGAGGTTCCAGGGCCTTCGGGCTTGCCGAAGACTCCGCAAACCTCACGCCAGAAACACATCCCGTCTGGTATTAATCAATCTGTGCCATCAGGGTGGTGCGGACAGGGGCGCCATTTCCGACATGGCGGGCGCGACAGCAATATTCGAAGCGCGAATACCGAGTGGTGACGATGGAAATGCCACAACATGGAAGGCTGCGAATGGTTGCTTCGTACCGGACCACAAGTTGACCATCAGCCAACAGAGGTTACATGAATTCAAGCCCACTCATAAGAAACTACTGGGAAAACAAAAGCAAAACCCGCGCGCCATCGAGCAGCCGCGCTGGCGGACTCGGCACAGCTGCTCCCGTTGGCTCGCCGCCATGCGTAAAGTCAAATGCCAAGGAGTGCCTCAATACGAAAAGGGCCGTTATTTTTGGAGAGCTAATTCGAGTGCTACTGCCACGAACTAGTACAAAACCATTCTGTACGGTTGGAGTCATGGGGCGTTTGTAGTCAAGAGGCCAAGAGGCCTGATGACTCGGTTAAGAGCCCCCCCGACCCAGAGGGTAATCAATTTTCTGACACCATGTCCAGCCCTACCCTCCACAGTTCGGGTCCCGAGGTATCGATCGACATGATTGTCCGAGAACAGTCGGCCCGGTGCTATTGGCTCGCTGCCGTTATCCTTGTGGCCGGCTGATGATTGCCGAGCGCCCAGCGCCATAAGACCCCATTCTGCCCAGAAAGCCGCGCGTTAAGAGGGCCCTCTCTCAAGTTCTGGATCCAAAGGATCCCGCTATCCCCTGAAGGGAACACCTGAAAAAAAGAACCTGGGCTGATGATGGCTTTCGATTGGGGGGGGGGGGATGGAGAGGCTTCCCAGCCCGCGGTGGTCCCAGAGTGCTGGCAGCCAGCCGCGACCCCAGAGCAATTGAGCCATGCCTATCAAGAGGCAAATAGGAACATTGTCGCGCCCGTCTTGTCACGCCTCGCAAGGTCTTGAGCGTTTATTACGTCTGCGGCGGCTCGCAACGAGCAGTGGGAAGGTTGAGGGCAGCTCTGGTTTTGTTGAAATACCACCTAGAGTACCACCCTGTCTCGCGCACATTGCGAGGTACCAGACACGTGGCCGTCATCCGAATTTTCCTCTCCTCTCTCGGTGTTTTCCCGTTCTG